AACCTCTCCCGGACCTCCCCCAGCTCCCGCTGGGCCTGCTGCTCCAGGGGCTGCTCCAGCGCCCGGAACACCAGCGCGCCCAGCACCAGGTAGAGCAGGACCAGCGCCAGCAGGGCCAGGAGCGTGGTGGTGCGCATGGCGGGCCCCGGGCCCGGCGGCTCCGGGAGGGCTGTGGTCACTGCGGGCAGAACCGGGATCTCCGATCAATCACCGGCCGGGCAGCCTCCTCCAGCCCCTGCCCACGGCGGGTCACTGAGCCCCCGGCTCCGCTGCCCTCGGAGGCCCTCGTCCCCGGCCCTCCAGCTGGGCGCTTGGTACCAGGACACACCCAGCCTCCCCTCTGTGGTCCCCCTTACCTCCACTCCCGCCCTCAGGCCCTCAGCCCCTGGGGAGGGGGGCTCTGGGTGCCAGAAGAGAAGAGGGACCCGCAGGGGAGAGGAGGGAGGAGAGTGAAGAGGGAGAGCTGGAGTCTGCTGGGGGAGAGGCAGGGGAGCGGGAAACGCCAGCGGGTGGGGGGTGGGGTGGGGGGCTGAGGGGCGGCGTGGGAACGGCCTCCGGGAGGGGCGGCGTGGGCAGGAGAAGGGGAGGAAAGCCGGCGCGCTGGGCGGGGACCAGGATGCCTCCGGCTCGCCAGCAGCCACCGCAGCATCTTCCGCTCTTGGCTGGGATGGCTGGGCGGGGATCCCCCAGGCGCTGCCCCCCCTGCCCGGCCTCCAGGCCCCCCAGCCCCGCCCGGCTTTCGAGGAACCAGGGTGGGTGTCCCGGTGCAGGTGCGCGCAGGGGTGGGCCGGGGCGGGAAGGAGCGGGGCGGGGCGGGGGCCGCACACGGACCGGGCTCCTCCCGGGCCTGGCAGCCCCTGGCCGCGGGCGGGGCGCCCACGCACACGCGCCGCACAAGCTGGTGCCCACGCCCCGCCCGCGGCCCGCCGCCGCCTGCGCTCGCCCCGGCCACACCGCCCCGGCCCGGCGCCGGAGGGAGGCCGTCACACGTGCGCCCGCACCTGCGGGAGCCTCTCGGACCCGGACCCGCGCAGAGCCGGCCGCCAGCCCCTCCGCCAGAGGCCCTGCGCCCACACCTCGGAGGCGGCGGGCGCCGCACGATTCCCGGGGCGCCCACGCGGGAAAGAGAGGGGGCCCCACCCAGCGACGCCCCTCCGCCCCGAGCGCGCCCCGAGTCCCCCCGCGCCGCACTCCCTGCCGCCCCTCCGCCCGCACTCCCTGCCGCCCCTCCGCCCGCACTCACTGCCGCCCCTCCGCCCGCACTCACTGCCGCCCCTCCGCCCGCACTCACTGCCGCCCCGCTGCCACGGAGGCTGCGACCCGCTCCCGGCGCCTCCCCGGTGCCGGTGCCTCCCCGGTGCCGGCTGGGCCGCGGGGGCAGCGGCAGGGGCGGAGCGGCGGCCGCGGGGCTGGGACCCCCTCCCGCCGCCTGAAGCCCCCTCCTACCGCGTTAACCCCTCCGGTGCCGCCTCCGGGGGCTGAGCCGGCCGCCTCTCCCTGGAGACGAGGCACAGGCGCCCGCAGGGATGCCGCTGGGTCCGGCCCGGAGCACCGGAGCCTGGCACCGCCCTGCCCCTGGGGTGGCCAGCAGCGGCTCCCCTCCTGGACGGGCACCACGCTATTCTCCCCGCTCCCTACAGAGCAGAAGGGCCCTCTGCTCCTCCCTCCCCCCTCCCCAGCCTGGCCCCGGCTCCACACTGAGGGAGTGGCCACACTGGGCACCTGTCCCTGCTCCCGTACCCCCATCTTTGGTCCTCTCCCCATGCCCGTCCCAGCGTGAAACCAGGGCAGGCACCCCCCCCCCCCCCTCTGCTGCTTGAACTGCCAGGGCGCTGGCATGTCCTGGAGCCTGGTTCCTCTCTGCTCTCACCCGCTTTACAATCCCCTCCTCTGCAAAGACCCTGCTGGGGTCCTCTGTCCCCCCCGTGGGTGGTGGAAGCCTGGGCGCCAAGGCTGATTCCTGCCAGTAGGGGCCTGACCGCACGCCCAAGCTCTGGGGCCTGCAGGTCCCGCTAGTAGAAAAAGGGGAGTCCATCCTCACCTGGGGGCGCTATGCTGAGCACTGAGGGCAGCGTGTGTAAGCCTGGCACAAATGGCAGCAACTTTCTGTTCATAGAAAAGTGACTGTGCCCGCTCCAGAGGCCCGAAGGCCGGGGCCTAGGACAGTCCCAAGTGCAGGGCTTTGAGACAGGCTCAGTGGTAGGCGCCGGGGCTGGAACAGTCAGGTCTGCGTGCGACAGACCTTCCCTAAGCACCTCCCAGCCGGGGACCAGCCTGCAGGGCGACGGCAGCAGAGGGCATGGCTGTGCCGTTAGCGGTGCCAAAGAGGGGCCCGGGACTACTAGGTAGATTGTGGGGGGAGGACCCAGGCTACCAGCCAATCCACATCTGGCAGGGAAACAGGGGGCCAACTCTTCCCCCACAGCCCCGGACCAGCCCCTGACCTGAAGGCCAGGTTGGATGTGATCCAGGGGAGCAGGGTCCCCAGAAATCCCGTCCACTTGGGGATGAGAGACATAACCACCACAGAATCACAGCGCCGCGGACCCAGCAGGGGACGTGGTTCCTGGGCCCAGAGGGGGGAGCTTCTAAAAACAGGCGGCCCTTGAAGCAGGTGTTAAGGAAGGAGTAGAAATGATTCACGTAGACAGGGGACTGGAGGGAGAGCATGGCTCCGGTCTCCCTTCTGCTCAGATCCAGGCTCCTCCCGCTCCCTGCCTGTCCAGCAGCCCCCTCCGAGGGCCCGTGTCTGATCAGCCTTCAGCCAAGCAGACAAGGTTCGAGGAGCACAGAGAGCGGTCAGCCTGGGGCACAGACACTGTTTATTGAGTGGCAGACACAGGAGAGGTAGCGGGCTCCAGCGCGGAAGCGGAGGCGCAGGTCATGCCAGGGTGCCGTGCGCATCTGGCAGGCAGGGCCTCGCCCCCACCAGCACAGACTCACTACAACGGATGTGGCAGGGAGCTGGCCGGGGAGGAGGTGGCCACAGCCCCTGGGGTCCCGGGCAAGAAGCAGCAGATGAACTTGGCACAGGGGCCTGGGTGGGGGGACTGGGGTGTGAGTGTTCGGGGCGGGTGGAGGGGATCACGTCTGTGGAGTGGAGTAGAGGCTGTGGTGGTGGCTGCCAGGGTCCAGCACCTGGGAGAAGAGCAGAGGCGTGGTCCGAGTCTGGCTGCCCCCGTACCAGCCTGGCTCCCGCCCGATGGCGCCGTACCAGCTGCCGGAGCCGAGGCTGCCGGACATGCTGCGGACAGAGAAACAGGGTCGGTTACGAGGCAGGGACCGGGGCCGCACGCACAGGAGTCGGGGCGGGAGAGAGGCTTAGAGCAGAGCCCAGGAACCCAGACATTCCAGGATCCAGCGCTTGAGCACAGTAGCCAACTGCACCCTCGGGGCAAGAGGGGGAAGCCAGAGGGGCCCCCCACCAAGTACAGAGGGAAACAAAGGCCAAGGCGGGGCTGTGGCTGGATGCCAAGACCTGGTCCCCATGGCACCGTGGACGGGCCAGCAGCTCAGGGGCCTGCGGTGGGCGGAGGCTCCTACCTGGTGCTCTCGCTCCGCCTGTGCCCCCAGGAGCAGCTCTCCTCCTCGCAGTGCCCGGCCCGATCGAAGAAGTAGGAACGGGAGCCAAAGACCTGCCCGTTGAGGATGTGGCTGGTGCTCTGGGGGAGGAAGCCGCCATTGATGCTCTCTCCCAGCCCTCACTGGCCTCCCACAGCCACCCGGCCCCGGCCCCGGCCCCGGCCCAGTGCCAGCCTCTGCACTGGCCTCACCAGGTCCTGTGGCGGCCGGTGCACCCGGAAGAAGCCCACCAGCAGGGTCGTGGGCAGCAGCTCCCACACAAAGAGGATGAGGCCGAACACGAGGTAGCCTTTGTTCCCCAGGTCGTTCACCAGGTCCGCCTGTGGGAGAGCCAGGGCTCAGCCAATCTGCAACGGTGCCAGGGGGGCACCCGGACAGGGCCCAGGGGCCACGGCTACTGAGGAGGCAGCAGACAGGCCCAATGCCCACCTGATCGGAGACATTGTACCAGTCATAATCGAAGGCGTCCAGCCGGCTCCGGGGAGCCAAGGCCAGGGCCGCCAGGTTGTAGCAGGCCCGACTGGCATAGAGCAGGACCATGGCACCGCCCATGGCAGCCGCCTGGCACACACTGGTCCCCTGAAACAGATGACAACAGGGGACCCTCAGCGAGGGGAGGCTTTCCCCTTCGCCCGAAGGATGACGCCCAGAGACCCCCCAAAGGACACCGGGCATCAGGGCTGGGACCCTACCTTGGCCTCCAGGTAGATGCTGGTGGAGGGTGCCCGCCGGGCCACAAGGCAGAGGCAGGCGGCAAGAGAGAGCGCGCAGATAACGAACAGGGTGTCGCTCACCAGGACGCGCACCAGCAGGAGGGCCCAGGGCTGCGCCGGGCGCCGGCGGGACAGCACCGCGCACAGCACATTCACCAGCAGGAAGAGCAGCGAGGCCCCCGCGAAGGCCCCTCGGACAGCCAGCCTGCAGCCCACGGCACAGTCAGCCCCGCACTCCGGCCCTGCTCACTGACCACCAGCCGCCCCAGGAGACCTCGCGCCCATCAGACCCTCAGGCCATCAGTCCGCACTTGCTCCTCCAGCTTAACAGACGGGAAACTGAGGCCCAGGGGGTCAGAGGGTGACCGACAGCTGTAGGACAGTGGAAGGAGCACTGGATCGGGTGTCCGAAATCTGGGATGAAGCCCTGGCTCTGCTCCCAGACACTTCTATGACCTTGAATGTGTGTGGCTTTATCTTCCTGGGCCTCAGTTTCCTCATCTCTCAAGCAGACAGTAACAGCCTCCCGGGTGAGTGGTAAGAATCACAGATGTCTGTGAAAGCGCTTATTAAATGGCAAGGCGTCGTACCCAGGACGGGAGCCTCGCCACCCAAGGTCACCCAGAAGCGGTTTGGTTTTGGAGCTTCCAGCTCCTCCTCTGTCCTGGACGACACTGGCACCGTCTCCCGGCTGCTTCTATTACCACTGCCCTTCACCCACGCCACACCTCTGCCCGGCCTCCTGTGCCAGGCGCTTCACCTTCCCCAGCTTTCACAAACATCCCCCGAGGTGTCCTTCCCCCAGCCCTGCCACGGGGGGAAGGGACAGACTTACAAGCCTCGGCTCATCTCTGGCCGACGTTTCGCCTTGGCTTTGAACACCACCTGGGAGCAGAGATGCCCATTATTCCTTCGGGCTTGAGGCTCGCCACTCCACAGCCCATCCCCACCCAGTTACCACGGTTACCTGGGCAAAGTAGAGGTTCATGAGCGTCAGTGTGAAGAACTGCAGGCAGACGGGGCAGCAGTAGAGAAGCCAAAAGGGCAGGGGCCCCAGGCGGTTGGCCCGGGGGGTGTCTCGGAAGTAGAAGGAGAAGAGGGTGGTGCGCAAAGCAGCCCAGAGCAGACAGAGTGCCAGGAACACCGTCTGGTAGCTGAGGCGCTTGTGTCCGTACAGGAGCACCAGCCAGAGCTGGGCATACACGGAGAAGAAGAGCAGGGCGTACAGGGTGGTGTAGGCCGCAGTCAGCCCCAGGGCCACGGCCGGTGGCAGCGCAGGCACCAGACCAGCAGCAGGCACCAGGCCAGACAGGTTACTCTCCATGTCAGAAAGGGAGGCCTGAATCCTGAGGCAGAGATGGAGGGGCTGGCAGGGGGCCAGGGAAACACAAATAAATATGCAGGGGCGGGAGCTGCAGGGGGCAGCGACGGAGGGGCAGTGGCTCTTGCAGCAGTCCTTGCTGCGGGGCACTCTCAGCCCGGGGTCCTGCACTCAGGATCGGGGAAGGACAGTCTCTCCTCTCCGGGGCTGACGGTGGGGGTGGGGAGCGTCGCCTCCGTGGGCCAGTCCCAGAGCCGGGAGCTTGGGGGTGCAGAGGCTGAAGGAGAAGGGTCCTTGGCCTTCGTCGCTCCAGTCGTCCCGGCAGGAGGGGGAGAGCCGCCGATGCCTGCTGGCTCTGGGCAGCGGCTGCGGCGTGAGGCGTTCAACACCCGGCTCTCCCCCTCCTCCAACTGCGGGCTCTCTCCCCTCCAATGATCCGGACGAGGCGGGGCGGGGGCTCTGCCTTCAGGCCTCGGGATGCCGGGCGCAGGCCCCAACCCACCCCCCTGCGTCCACTCTCCAGCTGCGGGAGGCGGGGGCAGGCCGGCGCGGTGCTCTCAGTCCGCCTCTGGGGGTGCCAGCTCCGGCCGCTGGGACCCGGGCCCTGGCTCCCCGGCTCCAGCGGCTCCGCCCCCTCCTGCGCCTGCGCGGGCGCCGTCCGCTACGCAAACTGCGCGGGTCTCACCGCGGCCCCGGCCGCGCCCGGCGCGCAGCCGTCCGAGGACGGGCGCGGGCTACGCCGCCGGCGGGTGCCCGGGGTTACGCGGGGCGGCGGGCGGCCGAGTGCCGGGTGGGCCGGGCCCGGAGCCGCCGGTTCCCCCGCCCCTCTCCCCCCATCCCCAGGCCGAGATTGTGCCGCCGCCGGGCCGAGGGCGGCACCGGCTTCCCCTCGCCCGGTCTCCGAAGGCAACTTCCGCCCACAGCCAAGATGGCCCTCGGGCCCCGCCCTCTGGGACGGAGCCCGCGCCCCCCGCCGCCCCGGGGGCGCCCGCCCTCCGCCCTCGCGGGGCGCGGCTCCCGCTCACCTGGTCCGCCGCCCGCCGGGCGCAAAGTCCCCCCGAGCCGCGCGGCCACCCGCACGGGGGCCCTATCCCTCCCGCGGCGTCGCGACAGTCATCCTGCCGGGGAGGCGCCCGCTTATCTGCAGGCTCCCGGACTGACGGCGCGGGGAGTGCCCTGAGGCGTGCGGCGCGGGGCGAGGTCCCCCGTGGGGAGGCGGGGCCCGACCCCGGAGCGGACCGCGTCGTGACCGCAGCGGCGAGGCGCCGCGCTGGGCTCGATGGGGCTTCGCTAGGTGCTTTCGCCGCAGCGCTCCGCACTCGGCTTACACAGCCCCCGGGCCCCTGCGGGGGGGGGCGCTATCCCCATCTTTCAGGGTCGGAAACTAAGTCCCGGAGGGGCTGAAGGACTTGTCATCAGAAGCCAGACCCCGGAGGACCCCCCATCTGCTCCCACCCGCGCCCAGGTACACGGAAGTCGGGAGCCAAGGCTTCGGGGACCAGGAAGGGAGGAAAGCGGTGGGCGGGGCCGGGGTGCGGGGGCGGGGCATCCAGTGGCTCCACCCCCTGGCCATCCCTGGTGACATCGCGATAGCCGATTGGGTCTGGTCGGTGACAGTTCCAGTTACCCAGGCAACTAGAACCGGGCTCCCTCTGGGCTAGAGAGAGGCGCAGGCTCGGGTCCCGGGCCTCGAGATCGGGCTTGGGGTGAGTCCTGCGTGCCGTCTTCACGGCCAGCCGAGGCCTCGGTAGGGGCTGGGGCTCCCCAGCACCAAGGTTCCGGAAGGAGATTTAGGCTCTGGGTGGACGGGCTGGGCTTGCCGGGCCAGACTCAGAGGACAGACTGGGGCCCGGGAGGCAGGGAGCACCTGGGGTTCTAAGGTGGAAGAGGGAACAGGGCCGCCAGCCACCCCCTCCGTCCAGCCCCCACCGGCGACTGTTTCCCCCCCGCTGTGCCATAACTACCTGCCTTCTCACCCCTACAGCCCAGAGCATGTTCCAGATCCCAGAGTTTGAGCAGAGTGAGCAGGAAGACTCCAGCCCTGCAGATAGGGGCCTGGGCCCCAGCCCCGCAGGGGACCAGCCCTCAAGCCTCAACAAGCTCTGGACTACGGTCCCAGGTCTCCTGGGGGAAGCTGGTCACCAGCAGGGCCAGCCGGCCAGCAGCAGCCACCATGGAGGTAGGCACTCCCCACCCAACCACCTGCTTGTCCACTTTGCCCCACTAGCTCCCTGCACCTCAGCCTCATCCGCACTCACCCGGTGGCTATGAGCAAACCCCTAACCTCTCTGGATCTCAGCTTTCCTCCTGTAAAACAGCAATTAATCGCCACCATTGTAGGCTGCTGGGTGATTAGCAGACTATACAGAAGCAGTAAATTAGTGTTGGTCTTAGGAAAAGCTCACAGAATGTGGCTGTTAGGACAGGACCACAGCAAATCACTGAGCCAGGCCGAGAACCAGAAAGGGGAAGTGACTTGCCTAAGGTCACACTTGTTTGCTGGCTCCTGGGGTGAAGCCGGGCTGAAGCCTCCAGGTCTCTTCTTTCTCACCCTGTGGCTCACACCCACACCAGGGCTATCTTTGCTGCTTGCCAGAGGCTAGTAACCACTCGAAGCAGACAGCCCTCCAAGGCAGCTAGTCTGGGGGGGAGGGGAGGGAGGAGAAGTACAGGCTAAATGGAAGGATGGGCACTGGAGGGCAGTGACCATTTCTGTCTCCACTTCCCAGGGCCTGGCACAGGCCTTGGCACCTCAGAAAAACCAGAGATCTTTTGAAAACAAAAGCTATTCCCCCACCCCCAGCCCTGGCTGCTGTAGCCCAGATGATTGGAGTATTGTTTGGTGAATTAAAAGGTGGGGGGGGGGGTAACTGGTTTGGCTCACTGGATAGTCAGCCTGCAGACTGAAGGGTCCCAGGTTCGATTCCAAGGGCACATGTTGGGGTTGCCAGCTCAATCCGCAGTAGGGGGCATGGGGAGGCAGCCAATCCAGGATTCTCTCTAATCATTGATGTTTCTCTCTTCAGTCTCTGAAATCAATAAAACATATATTTTTAACAAATAATAAAAGGTGATAGGTTCAATCCCTAGTCGTCTAGAGCACATGCTGTCCAATCGATGTTTCTCACTGATATTTCTCTCTCTCTTCCTCTTTCTCCCTCCCTTCTTCTCTCTAAAAAGTCAATATAAAAAAACTTTTGGCTCAATGGATAGAGCGTCAGCCTGTGGACTGAAAGGTCCCGGGTTCGATTTCGGTCAAGGGCATGTACCTTGCTTACAGGCACATCCCCAGTAGGGAGTGTGTGCAAGAGGCAGCTGATTGATAATTCTCTCTCATTGATGTTTCTAACTCTCTATCCCTCTCTCTTCCTCTCTGTAAAAAATCAATAAAATATATTTAAAAAAGAAAAACAGGTCCCTTGCCTGCTGAAGCTTAAACGACCCTCTCCCCATTTCCAGCAGCAAGAGGCTCCTCTCAGCCATGAGCACGCAGTGTCAGACACACCAACTCCCAGGCCTTTGCACTTGCTGTATTTCTGCCCACACCGCTTTCCCCTCACACCTGGCTGCTCCTCCCCTGTGGCAGGTATTTAATCTGTGCCCGGTGCTGTCCCAGCTGTCAGGGGCACACCAGTGAACAGAGGAGATAAAACTCCCTGCCCTGTGATACTTATTAATAGATTCTGGTCAGTGGGGGAGACAGGCCCTAAACAAACAAATAAGTAACTGATAGGGCCTTTCCTTTCTCCAGATCAGGAGGCCCCGGGGCCAGGGCAGTGATCTGCACTGAGGTGGCCTGGGTCTGCCTGGGTGAGAATCACCGTGTGAGCAAAGCTGTGGAGAGATCTGGAAGGGTGGGTTGGGCCGAGGCTCTGAGGCCAGTGTGGCAGAGGGGACAGAAAGAGGGGAGGCAGTTGGGGAGGCGGGAGTTAAAGGAGGGGCAGGGGATGGGGCAGAGCCTTGGAGGCAGTGTAAGGGCTTTGACTTTTCCTTTGAGCTTGGACAGGGGAGGGTTTGAGTAGAGCTGAGTGATGGGATTGGAGTGTCAAGGGCGTCACCAGGGCCGGAGTAGGAGGCGGTAGTGAGCCTGTGGGCGGCTCAGGACTGGGTTATTGATGGTGACCAGGGGTAGAATCACAGCTTAAATCCCTCTTTGTACAGTCCGTGAGCTCAGAATGGTTTTTTGGTTGTTTTTTTTTTTTTTTTTTTAATATATTTTATTGATTTTTTACATAGAGGAATTGAGAGGGATAGAGAGTTAGAAACGTCGATCAGAGAGAAACATCAACCAGCTGCCTCTTGCCTCTTGCACCCCTCGCACCCCGCCACCCCACACCCCGCAACCAAGGTACATGCCCTTCACCGGAATCGAACCCTGGACCTTTCAGTCCACTGGCCGACGCTCTATCCACTGAGCCAAACCGGTTTCGGCTGTGTTTATGTTTTTAAATAGTTTAGGGTCTGCCCAGGGGAAGGAGAGTGAGGGGAGGGTGGAGAAGGAAGACAAGGAAAGGAACGGCTGGGCGGTGGGAAGGACCTCGTCTGTTCCATGAATGGAGTGGCCGGGAGCTGGAGTGACCTCCTGCACAAGCTAGGGGTGTGACCCGGGGCTGGGGTGCCTGAGGCACGGAGAGGAGGGCGGGCACATCCTGAGAAACTGGATTTAGGGGGAGAGCGTGAGGAGGGTCTGAAGCAGCCCTAGGAGCTGAGGGGATGCCGGGAGGACGGCTGTGAGGAGAAAGCAGACACCACTACACAGGCTTTCTTAAACTTTTACAAAATGTATGCTATTGATTTCAGAGAGAGGGAGAGATAGAAACATCAGTGATGAGAGAATCATTGATTGGCTGCCTCCTGCATGCCTCCAACTGGGAATAGAGCCTGATCAGGTATCGAACCAAGACCTCCTGGTTCATAGGTTGTTGCTCAACCGCTGAGCTACACTGGCCAGCGGATTGCTTAAACCTTTTCCATGTCTAAAAAGCAAGTGGTTTTTCCATAAAAGACCCCTAAGTGCCAGTGACCTACCAGAATCACTGCTTTCCTCCTTCATTCTTCATACTCCCCGCCTCCTGGCCCCATTGGACTGTAAGTGTCCCCGGGCATGGACTGCAGCCATCTTGTGTGCTGTGCCAGCCCAGCATGCAGCCCAGTGCCTGGTGCCTGGTGAGCTGTGGGCGATGGACGGTGGAGAGGGAAGGGAGCACGCCCAGTGGGAGAAAAGCTCGGCACTGGGCACCAGGGCCAGACTGCGGGGTTGAGACATGTCTTTACCCTTTATTAGCAGGTGGAGCTGAAACAGGTCAGTTAACTTATTCTGCCTCAGTTTCCTTATCTGTTAAACTGGAGCCTGGTGCACGAAATTAGTGCACGGGAGGGGAGAGAGGGGGGCGGAGGTGTCCCTCAGCCCAGCCTGTACCCTCTCCAATTTGGGACCCCTCGAGGAATGTCCACTGCCCATTTAGACCCGATTTTGATTGATGTCTAACTGCTCCCCTGCCAGCCTGTTTGCCCCCAACTTCCCTCCTCTGCCAGCCTGGTCACCCCTAACTGCCCTCCCCTGTAGGGTTGATCGCCTCTAACTGCCCTCCTTTGCAGGCCTGGTGCTTCCCAACTGCCCTCCCCTGCTGGCCATCTTGTGTCCACACGGTGGCAGGATCTTTGACCACATGGGGGCAGCTATTGTGTGTTGGAGTGATGGTCAATATGCATATTACTCTTATTAGATAAGATAGAGGCCTGGTGCACCTGTTTGCCCTGAAGGGTGTCCCGGATCAGGGTGGGGGTTCCACCACAGGCCAGCCACGGCCCCTGGTGACCCAAGCAGAGGCCCTGGTATCTGGAATTTATTTACCTTCTACAATTGAAACTATGTAGCCTGGAGTGGAGCCAAGCCTCCTGCTCGCTCTGTGGCTGGCAGCCATTTCTGTTTAAATTTGTTTACCTTCTATAATTGAAACTTTGTAGCCTTGGCTTCCTCTGTTGCCTGGGAAACCCAAGCCTCCCTCCTGTTCTCTATGGCTGTAGCCATCTTGGTTGGGTTTATTTGCATATTTGCTTTGATTGGCTGGTGGGTGTAGCGGAGTGATGGTTAATTTGCATATTACTCTTTTATTAGGTAGGATGGGAGTAGAACCAGTCCCACCTCATTGGGTTGTAATGAGGATCTGATGAGTTAATACAGGAAGTGTTTTGAAACAGTACGTGGCCCAGAGGAGTGTATGCTGACCTTACTATTACTGTGATCGTTGTTATTGCTGCTATGAGTTGGCCCAGGCTCTGAGCAGACCTGGGGGTTGCCATTCATTAAGCAGAGAGGAAGACATGAATAATCAAAACCCCCCTGGTGGCAAACAAGGGAAGGATTGGTTAGAACCACAATGTAAGGGCTAAAAGCCATTCCGAAGAGTAAACTTTATCTCATGAGCAATTGGGAGCCATTGAAAGTTTCAGACAGGGGACAGACATAGCTGGGTTTAGAGTAGAGGTTGGCAAATCAGAGTCACAGGCCATATCCCTTTTTGTACAGACCAGGAGCTAAGAATGGCTTTTTTATTTTTAAATAGTTGACAACAGGTATCTCAGCATGAAAATATGGAATTCGTTCCCGTGTCCCTCCATGACACCTCAGTGGAACAGCAATGCCGTGGTTCAGCGTGCTCTTTCCAGCTGAGCATGGAGCTGAGTAGTTGGGACGGACTCTGACGTTACAGAGACATTTGCCCGTTCCTGCTTCCTGATTTCGTCAACTCTGAGCAAGATGGGGGTATATGTTCTTTGCAGGCCAGGAAGGGGCTTTGGTCTCCAGATGACTTTAGGGTACACAGGGCGTCCAGGCCTGAGCCTGCAGGTGTAGAAGCTACACGGGCTGCATGCTGCTCCGCCCACTGGGGCAGGCAGTGGGAGAGCACCTGCTGATGGCAGAGCTTCCCCGCCTCACGCTGTCTGCGGGCTCCCATTCATTACGTCTGCCTGGGTGCTCATAGCCTAACCAGGGATGTGTCAGTCCCTCCCATTACCTGGACGCCCAATGGGGTAAAGAGCTTCTAGATGAGCAGGGTCCCTTTATTCTCCATCCCCCTGCCTCCTGGCCCCGCTGGACTGTAAGTGCGGGGTGTCTCCACCATGGACTCCTCCCACGGCTCCCTCCAGCCCAGGCTTACTCTGGGAGGGTGTATGAGTGGCAGGTCTAGGCGCCCACCCATGCTCCCACCCAGAGAAGCCACGCCCCCTCCCTCTTCCTTACCTTCCGAAGTGGGTCCCCTCTGCCCTGCCCAGCAGTGTGTAGGGCCTATCGCTGATTGAGGGTGGGGTGGTTCAGATGGCAGCGTTCCTTCCACACAGGTTCACAAAAATCTCCTAGGTTTTTTCCAGTAAACAGAAGGACACTTAGAATTCCAGTTGCCACAAATGTGTGTCATTTTGACAGCGGCTAGTTTGGCACTGCCAAAGCCACTGCTTTGGTGAAAACCCTCCCTCCGTGATGCTCCAACTGGGCCCCCAAGAGGGTGCCTGGAGCATGAGAATGAGGGACCCAGGCCCTGGAGGCAGACTCAGGTTTAGATTTCTGCTCTGCTACCTTGGGCAAATGACTCTCTCTGTGCCTGTTTTCTCCACTCCAAATGGGGACAGTGAGTAACTCCCCGGCCAGGGTGTGAGGACGGAATGAATGAATGCAAGTGAAGTACTTCCAAGTGACACACCAAGTGTCCTTCTGCTTGTGATTCCCGAGGAGGCAGCGCCCAGACTGTCCATCTGCAGATCACTCCCCTTCCCTCTCTCGGGCCCTGCATCTGTCACGTGTTTGGGTTCTTAGCACTGATAAAAGAGAATAATAACTGACATTTCCTGAGCACTTACCTAGCCAACTGTGTGACTTCAGACCAGTTCCTAACCTCAGCGGCCTCAGTCTTCATCCCTAAAATAGGGAGAACTGGCATCCACCTCACGGGGAAGGTAGAGGCTTCAGGTGATGAGAGCAGGAAATATGGTTGAGGTGGGAGCTACCTAGCTACTGGCCCTCCCTCACTGCCCATCCCACAGAACTGGACAGTGACCTGCGCCTGTCAGGGGTCTATCTATTCCCAGCTCCTCTGGCCCCTGTGCCTACCCCACTCCTGATTTAGCTGTCTGTTTCACACTGCCACCTCCAACCCCAAAGGCTTTGTGGGGTCTCTACCTGACCTTGGGCCTGGGCTTTGGTGAAGCTCTGAATAGCCAGATGCTCTGACCACACCCTCTCGGCCAAAGCCTTTCTGGATCCAGCCCTCTCTTCCCTTCTTGGATTTCTCAGCCACGTTCCCGGAGCTGGGACCCTTGGAGGCCCTGCAGCCCCTGCAGCCGGCCGGCAGGGCTCTGCTGAAGGTCTTCTGGAGGGAGAACAAGACACTGTTATCCCCTGGCTTCGAACCCTGACCTAAACCTTGCTTCCTTCAAGATGTCTGCCCTGACAGCCGGCCCTGCTGTGCATGCTGAGCTCGCTCTGGGCACCTGCTCCAGACCCACCTCCACTCCGTTACTTAGGTCTGGGTGTTTGCTCCTGGGAGTAGTTCTAGGTCTTTGTTGATCTGGATCTGGGGGTGGTGGTGGCAGAAGTGGGGGGATGGCACACAGTTCACAAGTCAAACTCCCGACTCAGTAGAATAATGACCCACAGGCACTTTCAGTTCACAAGGCACTTCCATGCTGTTCTGTGGCCTTTCCAGGCACTGGCAGAAAGGGCGAGGTGAAGACACAGGTTCAGAGGGTGAAGGGTGGGTGGATAAGGAGAGGTGAAGCTCAAAGGCTAAGCATTGGACTTTGGATTCCAACAAACCTCTAGGCTTGTCTTCCATCTGTAGAGCAGAGGCAGAGTTAGTACTCCGCACACAGTTAAGGGGATAACGAGGTAATGCCCAGGACCTAGCACATAATAGGTGCTCCATACAGCATCCTAAAAAATATTACCTAAAAAAGTCACACACGTCAGGACATTTCCTCCAACGCAGGTGCTGTGGGAGGTACAAACATTGCGCTGCCCCTGGTTCTCCAGGGTCTCCTGCAGGCCGTGGGCCACAGAAGTGAGGCAGTGAGCAGCAGCAGGTGGCGGGCGGAGCTGGAGGTCAGCCCGGCCGGGCACCTCCCAGGCAGGGGACTGACTGGTCTGCTCTGGTGCAGGATGGAGATGATTAAGGAGCTAACAACCCATAGGCCTTGCACTAATAACTACAACTTACTATTGATTATGCCCTTATTTTGTGCCAGGCACAGCGGAAGGCCCTTTTATACACTGAGGCCGTACCCATTATTGGGGCTCAGTTACGATTTGTGGGATTAATGAGAAGTTAATTCAAAGCAAAAGCTCCAGGAGCTTCCCTGAGAGATACAAGTCGATGTGCACACAAGTACATCAGCGGCCTCGGGAGCAAAGGCTGGGGCGCGGCGCTGCCATTCACACCATCCCGCACTGTCCTCCCCTCTGCAGGCGCTGGGGCTATGGAGCCGCGGAGTCGCCACAGCTCGTACCCCGAGGAAGATGACGACACCGAGGAGGAGGAGCCCAGCCACTTCCGCGGCCGCTCGCGTTCAGCGCCCCCAAACCTCTGGGCAGCACAGCGCTACGGCCGCGAGCTCCGCAGGATGAGCGACGAGTTCCACGGCTCCTCCTTTCTGGTGAGCGCCGCGCGACCGAGGGCGGCCCAGTGCCGGTGCATGCCGGGACCTGGACTCCCGGGCCCCTCCCCTCGGGCTCCCGGGGCATGCCGGGACCTGCAGTCTCGGGACTTTTAGAGTCCCAGAGCATGCCGGGACCTGTAGTCCAGGCCCCGCTCCAGAAGGCGGAGGTCTGGAGCCCCAAATCTGTGGGACGCAAAGTCCGTGGCCTTCTGTGTTCCCAGCCGGCCCCTTCCAGGTGTCCGGGTTCTTTGCCTTCCACTTTGGACTTTTTTAAGTAAAGCAAGCAAGGATGTACTGACCACAACAAAAACGTACTTCGGAGAGTGAAACAAGGAAGGACATAGAAGAAGCAACAGGAGAGCCTAGGGCTGCTTTGGCTCACTGGGGAGTCGGAGAAAAGGGGGGCTCGGAGACAGGTTCAGGGGGTTAGCCCCGGGGCTGCCGCTGCCCATTGCTCCCCGGTTGCAAGTCCCGTGGGGGCCCCTAAGAGTTTAGGAAATACGTGCCTGTGGGGGAATGGCACAGGCGAGCTCCGTGGAGGGAGAGCACCCCTCGAACCCCTCGATTCTTGGACTGCGGGCCCATCTTCCGGCTCTTGCGCTAGCACACAGGGTCCTACGGTCCTCTCCCCCCGCCCCCAACACGGAGCGTCTGGCTCTAAACCGCCGTCCCTAAGGGCCAAACAGGTGATCTCGGAGCCGGTTAGGAAAGCGGTCAGGAGACCTCTTGGGCACAGGGCATGCTGGGATGGGATTCCGGAATGGCGGACCCTGCTAACTCATATTAACTTTTCCATCTCCCCACCCGAAGGGACTCTCTCGCCCGAAGAGCGCAGGCACGGCGGTGCAGATGCGGCAAAGCTCCGGCTGGACGCGCTTTTTCCAGTTCCAGTCCTGGTGGGGTCGGAACTCGGGGAGAGGAGGCTCCGCCTCCTCCCAATGACCTTTCCCACGCGCCCCTGCAGCCATCTTGAGTGCGGGCGGAAGTCGCCCCCGAGGCCTCCGCAGAGGACCCGGCATCTCCGCGTCGGAAGGAGTCCAGACCCAGAGCCGGTCCCTTCCGGCGTGTGCGGCGGGGACGCCCGGGGCTTCCATCGCGGCGGAAGTTCTGAAGTTCTTCCGCCCTTAGCCGCGCCCGGGTGCTGGCCGGAACCGCCGGAACCCTCTCCCGCAGTGCCCCGCCGCGGAACGTGCTAATAAAGCCCATCTCTGCCCGGCCTCCTCTCCGGCGCTGGCAATCCCAGAGGACGCCACCGTCTAAGCAGAAGGGAAATCCGGGCTCTTTCTGAGTGACAGCCGGGTTGCGGGGGGGGGGTGGGGTCCGAGGCGGCGAGCGGGGCCTCGGCCAGTTGAGCCCCAGGGACTTCCAGGCCCTTATCTCCAATCTGGTAATTGGGAGCCGCGGGCCGGCCGCCGGCCGCCGGAATTCCGAGCTGTGCCAGCCGCGCCGCGTCCCCAGGGAGGGTCATCTGTTCCTATGTGGGTCAGCCCTTCAGAGCAGCTACTGTGTGGCCGGCCCGGGGCCAGCGCCGCCGAGGGAGCTGGCTGGGCGCGCGGGGCGGGGGAGGGGGTGGCGGGAGACTGGCCAAGGGCCGTGAACAGTGATAAATAGGGAACCAGAGAAGCTTCGGGACCTGGGAGCAGAGCTCCGAGCTGGGTTTCAGAAAGATTTATTGGCGCCCCCTATGGATGAGCCCGCGGTTTGTGCTGGGTACACGGAGATGAGTTAAGACAGCCGGTGAGTTGGAGCTGGGGCAGCGGGCTGTCCTGGGGAGAGGAGAGAATGGACCCACGGGAGGACAGGGGAGCAGCAGAGGCCAGGCTTCTGAGGGGCTCGTGTGTCCTACCCAGGAGCTTGGGGTAAGCCTGGTCTTCGGGGAACAGGGGACTGGCGTGTAGTGTTTCTGTCAGAGGAGGCAAGCCAAGAATGTAGGAATTGGCAGCTGCGGGCACGGACACAATGCGGTGGGCAGATTTGGGGAAAGGACAAGGACTGACCGCAGAAGCGAGGCCCAGAGTAGAGGTCCCCTGCCCTGGGAGAGCCCCCGCTCTGGAAGTCCAGTTTCTGGGCCCCCCCCACCCCACGTTTGGCTGAGGCTGCAGCAAAAACAAAAGGAAAACACTCAATTGGCAGGAGATAAGCCCGATAAGAGGCTGCCTTCCTCTGGAGGAGGGAGCTGGCAGGCCGGGAAGCTCGGCCAGGAAGCTGGAAGAGGCCTGAAGGAGTGCCAGCCTGCCCCTGCAGCAGAGCCAGCCGCACCCTCGCCGCCGCGGGTCTCCGCCATCCTCTGCCATCCTCACTGTTCCCAGGCAGGAGGGAGGCCTGGAGCAGGTCCTCCAGGCCTGGTGTGGGCCATCCACCATGGAGCCTTCAGACATGCCTGCCTCCGGGTCAGGACATCCCGAGTTGGCCTGGCACACGTGACTTCTGTCTGGGCTTCAGTCTCCTCACCTGTAAAACAGGCACAACATCTCCCTCACAGAGGTGAGGGCCGCGGGGTCTCCCAGCCCCTGTGTCTGACCGCCAGCTTCCCTTCTCCCACGGTCACTGCCAGGCCCACCCACTCCCCACCTATGGCTGCCCAGCTCCACCCCAGTCCATCTCCCTACAGAGTCAACTGCCTGCCTGGAGCCCAGAGCAGCCTCAGCGGAAGATGCTGGGTCCTTGGGTCGTATTAGGCAAAAGGAAGGGGGGGCAGGGAAGGCTTCCTGCAGCCAAGGCCTGAGCCTCCTTAAGAGAGGACAGAAGGGAGGAAAGTAGGTCCAGGGGCAGAGGGCACAGGCAGAAAAGCCTGGGGAGGCCACAGGGCCTCTGGCACCAGGTTAGCGGGAAGGTCTGCAGGCCCCGGGCAAGCAGGTATCAAGCCCAGCCTGGCAGGTGTGGCTCTGGTTGAGCATCAACCTATGAACCAGGAGGTCATGGTAAGATTCCCGGTCAGGGCACATGCCCGGGTTGTGGGCTCCGTGTGGGGCATGCAGGAGGCAGCCAATCCGTGATTCTCTCATCATTGATGTTTCTCTACCTTCCTCGCTCTGAAATCAATAAAAACACTAATTTAAAAAAAAAAAAAAGGTTCAAACCCAGCAACCCATCACTGGGGGCCTGACCTCAACCCCAGAGTGCCCACAGCCCATTTTTATTTTTTTTTTTTTTTTTTTTTTTTTTTTTTTTTTTTTTTTTTTTTTTTAAATATATTTTATTGATTTTTGTACAGAGAGGAAGGGAGAGAGATAGAGAGCTAGAAACATCGATGAGAGAGAGTCATCGATCAGCTGCCTCTTGCACACCCCCTACTGGGGATATGCCCGCAACCAAGGTACATGCCCTTGACCGGAATCGAACCCGGGTCCCTTCAGTCCCCAAGCCGACGCTCTATCCATTGAGCCAAACCGGTCTCGGCCACAGCCCATTTTTAAATGAGGAAACTGAAGCCCCAGAAGAAGGGGCAGAGGGGGTCTGCAGCTCAGGGTCCTCTAGCACTGCCCCACCCCAAACCACACTGCACACAGCGTCCCTGAAATCCACTTTTATTCACGTAAAAAAACGTCCCCAGAGAACAGAGAAAGAACGTGACCCCTACTGCCCAGAGCTGTCTCCACATGGCGTTCCCTCGGGAAGGGAGGGGGATGGCTCCCCTCTGGGGTGTGGGTGTCACGGGGGCGAGGGCCCCGCTCACGCTCTCAGGCCCAGAGTGACCCGGCGCCTTCCCTAAGACTAAGCACAGGAAGGAGGGGCTGGGGACGAATGGGGCCCCGAGAGGGTGAAGGAAGGAAGTTAGTGCAGGGTGCTCGCCTCAGTTTAAAAAAATAAAATTTCTAAAGATAAAAAGTTAAAAGAAAAAAAGAGCATTAGTGTCATGGCTTCCGGCCGCCTCCCAGCGCCCACCCTGGCCCGGTGGCCACCTCTTGCTCAGCCAGGTCAGAGCTTCGTATTCTCCTCTTGGCTCTCCGAGTCCGCGCCGGACAGGTGCCCACCGCTCCCAGGCGCGTGGCCATTGCTGGCACAGGCCACCAGATGTCCATCCCCCAGCCCCTGCGGCGTCTCGCCCAGCAGACACCGGCGGATCTCCTGGGGCAGACTGGCCCGAAGCTCCTGACATTCCTGGGCCAGCTGGGCCAGCAGCTGCGGGGGGAGGAGGAGGAGGAGGAGGAGGAAGAGGGTCACAGGACAGGCCACCTAGCACTCAGCCCGATGCCCGAGTGCCCACCTCGCCCACCTCGCCCATCCACTCACCTTGGGCTCCTCTTCCAGCAGCTGCTGCAGGACCTGCTGCTGCCCAGCCACCAGACGTTCGTGCCGCTGCTTCTGGGCCTCCTCCAGCTGCCAGTGGGGGGACAGAGCTCAGCTGGGGCCCCCGGGAGGGGCCAGGGCTCTGAGATACCATCCTTGTGGCAGATGCTGCAGGCCCAGCCTCCGAAGCCACGGGGCTCGGTTAGACAGTTGGCTTTGATGGTGTGGGCCGGAGGGGACTGGAGGGGGGTGTGGGGGGCCGGAGGGGAGTGTGGGGGGCTGGAGGGGAGTGTGGGGGGCCGGAAGGGTTGTGGGGGACTGGAGGGGGTGTGGGGGGCCGGAAGGGTTGTGGGGGACCGGAGGGGGTGTGGGGGGCCAGAGGGGAGTGTGGGGGACTGGAGGGGGTGTGGGGGGCCGGAGGGGAGTGTGGGGGGCCGGAGGGGAGTGTGGGGGGCCGGAGGGGAGTGTGGGGGACTGGAGGGGGTGTGGGGGGCCGGAAGGGTTGTGGGGGACTGGAGGGGGTGTGGGGGGCCGGAGGGAGTTGTGGGGGCCAGAGGAGGGTGTGGGCCGAAGGGAACGGCTTTGGAAACCCCTCCAGGCCCGCACCAAGGAGCTGGGTTTGCGATGGCTGGAGGAAGAGGGTGGCACCTGAGCCTCACTCACCCGGCGGATGGAGTTGACGGACTCTGTGATGTGGCGGCGGTTAATCTCCGTCAGTTCCCTGCTCGGGAGCAAGGCAGTGGGTTCACCGTGGGCACCCGCCCCGCCTGCCCAGCGCCCAAACGGTTCCCGGCCCCAGGCCCTTACGCCTCCTTCTTATGCTTCTCCCTCGTCTTGGCTTCCGAGATACTGTTGTGGCGTTTCCTGTCCAGGATCTTCTGCAGTTCCTTCTTCTCCCTGGAGGGGCCGGTGGGGAAAGAGGAAGGCTCAGTGGCAGGACTGGGGGCTCTGCCCTTGTCCTGGCACCAGGGAGTCCCCGCTCCCCGCCCCCCATCCAAGACCCTGTGCCTTCACCTGTCATTCATCTCCTTCAGCCTCTTGACCTGAGTGGTGTGAGCCTCCAGGACAACCTCCCGGAGCCGCTGTAGAGCCTGTGGACGCAGGTGACCAGTCGGTGGACAGGCCAATGACAGGTCCGTCCGAGAAGCAGGCGCCCCCTGACCACGCCCCTCACCTGTCTCAGGTGCTCCATCCTCCGCTCGGCCTCGGCGTCCGCCTGGGCCTCCCGCAGCTCCAGCAGACTCTGCACCTGTCTCTTCTGGAACTCCTGGTAACGCCTCCCCTCTTCCTCCTCCTTCTTGTCCTCCCCGGCTCTGTGTGGAGAACCCCCCGGTGAGGCGCAGGCATCACAGGGGCGTGGGCTGGGAGGGCAGAGGGTGCAGGGCGTTTCCCAGCGGGCGGTGCCGGCCCGGGGAGGGGGGGCTTCTTATGCTAATAAGGAGGCCAGTTCATTTCACTGAAAGACGGGAGCCCATCTGGGCACACACGCTCCTCTTGTTGTCTTCCAACGAGGCCCTGCTCCCAGGTGGGGAGAGGGTGGGACTGAGGCAGCGAAGCCTCCTCCCTTCCTGGCACCAAGCCCTCCTCCTCGGGGGGCCCAGGAGAACCCCTCGGTCACCCCGCCATCCTCCGTGCCCACCTAGCGCAGGAGAAACCCGCACCCCCACACACACTCCCCGCGATGCACACAGCACAGCCGCGCACAGGCCGGCGGGGCGCGCGCAGGACACCTGCTCGCGGCGCGGGCCTGGGCCAGGCCGTCCAGCAGGCGGCGGGTGAGGGCGAACGCCTTGCGCTGGTGCTTCTTGTGCAGCTCCCGCAGGTCGCGCTCCTGCCGGCTCCGGAGCTTCACCAGAGACTTGTGGCCTCGGAGCTCGTCCAGGGGCGCCACCGCCACCTCTGTGCGGGCGGAGCCAAGGCGTGAGCGGGCCCAGACGGCCCTGCGGGCACCCACACCCCAGGAGTGGTCCTGCCCCCCCCTCCCCGGAAGCTCCACCCCAGAACAGCCCCCCTCCTGGGACAGCCCCACCCCCACAAGCCCTACCTGACAGGACACTGGCGATGAGGTCGTCCCGCTGACCTGGGAGCAGAGACGGGACTGTGAGAAGGCGGGGGACAGTGGAGGCGCGCCCCGCAGGCCACCCCCGGCCCAGGCCGCCCCCTACCTGGGCTGCTGAGGGAAGGGCTGGTGGGAGAGGTGGTGAGGACTGGGGGCCGGCGGGGCGAAGTGTCCAGAGGGCTGGGTGCGGGGTTCGGGGTCAGCTGGGATCCCTGCTGCTGAGACGGGGTCTCCTGGCTTGTCTCCGGGCCAGCCTGAGCCTGCGGGGGAGGAAGCAGGATGCTCTTTCCGGAACGCTGTCCTCTCCGGCCCCTCTGCCCTCCACAGCCTCCGGGGCTGTTCAGACAACCACACGAGAAACCAGGGGTCCAAGCCCCTTTCCTCACGGGGGCGAGGAGATAATGGGAGATGGTGCCTCCAAGGCGCTGGGCCCCCCTGCCTGTGCTCGGGAACTTCCATGTTGTTCTGGAAAAGCCTTGGCCCGGCCCCAAGTCTCCTGTCTCCACCCTTGCCCACAGCTGCTCATCTTCCTCGTTACTTAGCTCCTGATTAAATCAGCGAAGGAAGTGAGTGCAGAGCGGGCACCAGCCTCTCCGGCTAACAGCTCCGAGCGGCGGCCTCCCTGCCTGCCGCAGGCCCCCGGGGACCGGGTTTGGATGTGCGGGCGGCCTCTGCTCCTGACCCCTCCCCACAGAAGCCGCCCACAGCTCAGGCGCCCGGGAGCCGCATGGAAAGTGCAGGCTGAGAGACGGGAGGGTGAGCCAGCGTGGGCACAACCCGGGCCCCGGCCCCGGCCCTGCGTGTAGCCGGGGGAATCCAGGCCGGTGCGTCCTGAGGGGTGCTCTCTGCCTCAAAATGGGAGCAGCCCAGGCCCTGAGCTGCTGGGAGGCCGCACAGCGTGCAGCGGGGCGGACAGGCCGAGGCTGGAGGCCCGGCCGGCCTTTGTGACTGGGAGCCTCCGTGTCTCCATCTCTTCCCGGGGGACGCGAGCTCAGGCGGGGAGGGTTACGTGAGCCAGGCTGGTGAAAAGGGCTGGCGCCCAGCACCCACCCCGCTTTGTTTCCTGGTTTGGGTGAGAGAAGAACCCAGAAGGGGCCCAAACCAGTTTGGCTCAGTGGGTAGAGCGTCGGTCTGTGGACTGAAGGGTCCCAGGTTCGATTCTTGTCAGGGGCGTGTGCCTTGGTTGCGGGCATATCCCCAGTGGGAGATATGCAAGAGGCAGCTGGTCGATGATTCTCTCTCATCGATGTTTCTATCTCTCTTCCTCTCTGTAAAAAAATCAATAAAAAAAAAAAAAAGAACCCAGAAGGGGAACGGGCCTCAGGGCGGAGGGTGAATGACACCGGTGTTTGGGCCACGAACAGTCCCTCTCCCTCTCGGGACGAGGAGCCAGGCCGCCAGCCGGCTGGGCTGCTGCGGGCGGAGGAGGCAGGGAAGCTGCAGGTGCTTCCCTCCAGGCCAGCGGGGTTCAGCCCGCACCCCACCCGCACCGCACCACCCCACCTGCCCTGCTCACCTCCCGCTCTCCGATGAGGGCGGCCAGCTGCTTGGCCCTCTGGTCCATCAGGCTGACATGCTTGATGGGGTTGATCAGCGCCTCGGCATAATCTGGGCCGGGGCAGGGGGCAGGGCCTTGGAGTCAGAACCCCAGGGGGCCACCCCCTCCCACTGGCTCTGGTCTCCTGCAGGGACTGCAGAACCCACCCTCCCCTGGGCCCCGAAGCCTGGCCGTTCCCAGGCCCGGGGGCGCCCCTGTGCCCACAGCGTGTGGCCTGCCCTGCAGCTCACCCTGGTGGTCGTCGGGGATGTAGTCGGAGGCCTCCGTGTAGATGAGCAGCGCTGGCAGACACAGAGGCTGGTTGGCCTCGTTCCTCAGGCAGATGTAGTGGTACCCTGGAGGGGGCGGGGGCCAAGGTGAATGAGCCCCACTAGGTCCCGCACACACTGCCCGGGTTGCCCGGAGCCCAGGAGGCCTCACCTGAGCGGATGGCAGAGACCGGCAGGATCCGGTGCCCCACGAACTTGCCGCCCTCCTCAAAGGCTGCGATGCGCAGCGAAGCCAGCGTGGGCAGCACCACCTGAGGGCCCAGACTGGCGCTAAGTCACAGCTGACCCCTGACCCCTGGCCACTGAGCCACAGCTGACCACGGCCACCAAGGTCAGAGCTCAGCGGGGACCCTCGGACAAGCATCAACTGTTACTATCACTCCCCAGCTAATAGCAGACCATTACAGGGGGTCTGCCAGCTGGACAGCCAGCAGCCCCTGAGCCAAAGGAGTGGGCTGACCCCTTCCCGGCACCACTCCCAGGGACAGGCCAGCCTGGTGATCACCGGCTTCGAGACGGGAGAGGGAGCCAGGACCCGGCACTGAGGCCACACCCAGCCCAGCTGGGCTCCGAGCTCCAGGCCGTTTGGGAGCGGGGAGGAGCGGGGTGAACGTGTGCCTGATCTCAGGCCGCTGTCTGGGCAGCGGGGCAGGCCGTGCCCACTCCTCTTGCAAGGCCGTGGCACCTCCCACCGCCTCACCTTCCCGTCGTCCTCTCTCACCTGCAGAGGGCGGGGCACCCGAGCCCGACCCTGGGACATGCAGGGTGTGGGGCGAGGTCTGGAGGTGCCAGGCCCAGCCTCGAGGGAGCTCTGCACCCCCCTGTCCACCCCTGACTGCCACTAAGCAGCTGGTCCCTGCTCCCCGGGAGAGCCCAGCGGGGGCGCCACGCTCACCTTGGGGAAGTCAAAGGGCTCCTCGTCCCACACGGGGTTGAAGGAGTTCCCCTGCGAGGTCCGCGTGCGGTACTTGCGCCGCGTGTCCACGGGGAGGCCGAACATGTCCACCTCCACGTAGATGCTCACCTTCCGGTCCGACAGGAACTGCCCCGAGATCACCTGGGGAGCGGGAGGGTGAGGCGGCTGCGAGGGCCCCGCCCAGGACCCCCGCCTGCGCCTCCCTGGCCCCACCTTGACCCGCAGGGCGTTGGCCACGATGCCGTCCACGATGGCCTCGGTGAAGGGGTCGAAGGACTTGTCCGGCCGCCGCATGAACTCCGGCTTGAGCAGGTAGCCGCTGCGCCCGTTGTACTCAAACACGCCCGCGTTGAGCTGCATCGCCACATCTGGGGACAGGGGGAGCGTCAGGAAGGACAGGGCCGAGCAGAGGGGACAGGTCCTCCGTTAGGAAAGATCAGGCAGGAAGCAGGGCTGAGGGCCCGCCAAGGTCAGGAGTCGGGGTTAGCCAAGGTCTCGGTTTGGGTTGGGGATCTGGGGCAAGTCAGAGGTCCATTCTGACAAAATCAGCCCGGCTGGCGTGGCTCAGTGGTTGAGCGTCTGACTCATGAGCCAGGGGAGGGGGTCAGGGGTTCAATTCCCAGTCAGGGCACATGCCCAGGTTGCCGGCTTGATCCCCTGTGTGGAGTGTGTGGGAGGCAGCCGATGCATGATTCTCTCTCATCACTGATCTCTCTCTCTCTCTCTTTCTCTCTCCCTTCCTCCCTCTCGGAAATCAATAAATAAATCTGTTTAAAATAAATTAGCAGGGTCCTGGTGCAGAAGCCGGTGAGGATGGGGGCCAGAGCTCACCCAGGGTCTGGAAGTTGAGTGCGACGAGCTGGCAGCCCACGTTCCAGAAGAGCTGGGGCATGTAGTTGGACGAGTCCACGCGGGTGCCCTTGGGGTAGATGCGGCTGAGCTGCTGCTTGTTGTATCTGAGGTTGGCAGTCAGGGGCCACGCCGGGCACTCACCCCCTCCTGCCTGAAGCCTCCGCTCCTGTGAACCCTCCTCCCGGCCTGGGCTCCAGGGCCCGCCTTGGGTCCCCACTTCTTGGCCTAGCCCCTGTGCATTCTCCCAGACCCCCCCCCCCCCAAAGCCCAGGTGGGGGGCTGCAGCATCAGAACCCTGTGCGATGGCATAAGTGGGGTCAGGACATCTCTGCCAGCCTCGGAGCGCCTGCAGCCCGGCCCCAGGGCCCCGGGGCCCCCAAAGGATACTCCACAAACTCCATGGGGCTCTTGGTCAGCTGCTCCATGGCCTTGGTCTCCACGAAGGAGGACATCTCGAAGCACTTGTTCCTCTCTGGAGGTGGCCAGAGGGGGGTCAGGCCTAGCAGGGCCAAGCTGGCTCCCTCACTCACCGTCTCCCACCCCACTTACTCCGAGCAGCCTCAAAGGACTTGAACTTGACAGGCTCAATGTAGTTGACGAGTGTTGACATTTCCTCAGTAGCATTGACCTCACTGCTGGCAGTGCCCTATGGAACCAAGCACAGGGTCAGCGGTGTCATGTCCCCCAGTCATCAGCTGACGTCCCCTCACCTGCCCTGCGCCACAAAGGAGGCTCTGACCCTCTTCCTGCCCCCACATATCATGCCACCTGGAGCCTCAGCAAGGGCTGCAGCCCCCCATGGCCATCAGCCTGGCCCTTCTGTCCTGAAGTTCTCCCAGGGCCTGGCCAATGTGCCCTGGGTCCCACCCTCCAAATTTGCCTCCGGCTCCCTTATTCTGGAAGCTGGGATTTCTCACTCAGTTACAGGGGTTCGTAACTGCATGTCACATGCAGACAATCCTGTTTTCTTTCTTTTTCTTTTCTTTTTTTATTTATTTTTTTAAATATATATTTTATTGATTTTCTTACAGAGAGGAAGGGAGAAAGATAGAGAGCTAGAAACATCGATGAGAGAGAATCATCGATCAGCTGCCTCTTGCACACCCCCAACTGGGGATGTGCCCGCAACCAAGGTACATGCCCTTGACCAGAATCGAACCCGGGACCTTTCAGTCCGCAGGCCGACGCTCTATCCACTGAGCCAAACCGGTTTCCGCCAGTCCCCAGTTTCCCATCCCCAGCTATATTTCCAGCCACCACCTTTCCATGTCCTCTCAGCAAGACTCACACAACCCCATGCTGCTGGGATCACAGCCCGTCCCCCCTTCCCCACTCCGGTGCCCCCCCAAATCCGGCCTCATGATGGACTGTTCTGTCACCTCCATCCTCAGAGCTCAGCACTCCTGGTCCGTGGGCCCCTCCTGAGCACTCGGCCCTGCCGCAGCCGCTCCCTCCTCAGACCTGCTCGCCCAAGCTCCCTGCCCAGGCCCGACGCCCCTTCCTCCCCTCTCCCCACCCATCTGCCCCTAACTCAGCCCTCCCCAGCCCATGTCTCGAGCATAATCTCACATTCGCTTTCATGCTTATTTACCTAAGACCTCTCCTCCTTCTCCCTGTTCCCCGCTCCCCGCCCCCCCCCCTGCTTCCCCCATGCCCGGGGCCAGGAGAGCAGGGCGTGTCTGACCACGGCCAAAGCCAGCCCTGAGGGGGCCCAGCACGCGCCTCCCCCGGCGGCCTGACCTCATCTGTGGTCGGCTTTTTGGGGTCTGACTGCTCCTCCTCTTCCTCGTCCTCCTCCTCCTCCTCTCGGTCGGCAGGTCCGAGATCAGGGCCCCGCTGCGGCCCCTCCTCGCTCAGAGACTTCCGAGGCTCCAGGCTCAGCTTCTCCAGGCCCGCCTCCTCCCCATTGCTCAGGCCGGGGCAGCTGTCGGAGCTGGGGGACCCTGCAGAGGACAGGGCACGGGGGTCGGGGTCAGGGCACACACAGACACTGGGCAGCCTCGAGGGGTGTGCCCAGTGTGTGTGGAGTGACTCAGTGGGGAGTCAGGGGACTCAGGATAGATGGCTGGGGGAGGGGCAGCAGTCGGAGTTGGATGAGGCAGAGGGGGTCAAAGGTCAGGGTTCAGAATTATTGACATCAAGAAAGTAGGTAGGGTGGCTCAGCAAGGATAAAGGATGACATGGCGAGATCCCAAGTCAGGGGTCGGTCAGGGGTCAGAGGTAAGGAGGACTTTAATAGTGAGAGAGGTCACGTGGCCAGGCTCCGTGGGGGTCACAGGACGGGGTCACAGCACAGGCGTCAGAAGCCTGAGGATCACACTCAGTGCGCGGATGTGGCTCCCTGAGGCAGGGATCAGAGCCGGCTGAGGGGAAGGCTCTGAGAGGTGGGGTTTGAGGGTGAGGGTCAGGCGTTCGATGGCACCAAATCCAATCTGGGTTTAGTTCAGTGGGGTGAGTGCCTGGGGTCAGGGGTCAGGGAGGAGGACGGCTGTGCCGGAAGCGGAGGGGCAGGTGGGGTCAGGACCGGGGTCGGGGTCCGGGCAGGGGCCGTACCGAGCTGGGGCGAGGAGGGCTCGGTGGGGTCAGGACGGGGTCGGGGCCGGGCCATACCCAGCTGGGGCGAGGAGGGCTCGGTGGGGTCAGGACGGGGTCAGGGTCGGGGTCGGGGTCAGGACGGGGTCGGGGCCGGGCCGTACCGAGCTGGGGCGAGGAGGGCTCGGTGGGGTCAGGACGAGGTCAGGGTCGGGGTCGGGGTCAGGACGGGGTCGGGGCCGGGCCGGGCCGTACCGAGCTGGGGCGAGGAGGGCTCGGTGGGGTCAGGATGGGGTCAGGGTCAGGGTCAGGGTCAGGACGGGGTCAGGACGGGGTCAGGGTCGGGGTCGGGCTCAGGACGGGGTCGGGGCCGGCCGTACCCAGCTGGGGCGAGGAGGGCTCGGTGGCGGCGGAGCTCTCGCTCAGGGCCGAGTTGCTCTGCTCCAGCGGCCGCTTGCGCACCGAGCTGGTGGGGGCGGCGCTGGGCCGGTGCCGCTTCTTGTTCTTCACCAGGATGCGGCCCATCAGGTCCTGGGGGCTGGGCAGGGGCACGCCCGGGGCCAGCTGGCGGGCACAGACAGGTCAGGGCCGCCGGCACCCTCCCCCCAGCCCGCCCGCTCCCGCCCCCATACCGGGTACTTGTCCAGGGGGTCGATGAGCAGCGCGTCCCCGAAGATGGAGCGGCAGTACTCGGCCATCTTGGCCTGCTGCTTTGCCCTGTGGGGCCAGAGTCAGAGGTCAGAGGTCCGCAGGGTCAGTGCGAGGTCCCAGGGTCCGAGGCTGCCCCGGGGGAGTCGGGCCCCCGGAAGCCTGCGCGTCAGGGGGCGCCGGGCCAGACGGCGGGTGAGCGGTACTCACGAGTCCACGTGGTTCTCGAAGGAGAGGATGACGGGGTAGGGCGAGGTCTTGAAGGCGGTCTCGGCGATGGCCTCCAGCACGTCCCGCAGCGGCACCTCCGTGGTCATGGTGAAGCCGTGGGTGATGAAGGGCTCCTCCTCGGGCGGCCGGCCCTTCCACACGTCCAGCTCCACGCAGCGGCAGCCCCACAGCAGCGCCTGGCGGTACATCTCCACCGAGGAGGTCCCGGCCAGCTGCCCCGCTGCAGGCGGCTCTGTCACCAGGCGCCGCGGCCAGGCTCCTCCCCGCCCCGGGCCCCTGCGAACCAGGCCAGCCCTGCCCACCCCTGTTCCCGGTGCAACCAGCACCGTCTCCAGAGCAGGCCCAGGCCGCCCAGCCCCGGCCCCCCCACCGTCTACCAGTGCCGGCGGCCGGCCGGATCCTCACCAGGCTCACTCCCTCTCACCCAAATGCCCGCCGCCTCCCATCCCACCAGCGAGTCACTCCCAGCGCCCACGGCCCCTCGCTTCCCCTGCCCCCTCCACTGCTGCTGCCCTGGAACAGCCCCCACCGCTCCCACCGGGGACACAGGCCCCTCCCGCCTCCATCCAATCTCCGCTCAGCACCCTCCGACCAGCCCTTCTGATCACCTGGATAAACCCAAATTCCCTCCCTGCTGGTCTGGTCCTCCCTCCCTCTCCAGCCCCCTCTCCCGTTACCTGCCCCTGCCCCCCCTCCTCGCTCCCCCCGCCCCTCCTCCCGGCCTCCTTTCCCTTCGTCAGACACCACGCAGCCTTCTCCTCTGGGCCTTTGCACAGGCTGTTCCTCCCGGAGCCTTCAGACCACCCAGGAGACGCACCCATGGCAGACGCCCCGGGCCCCGGGCAGGCTGCCCGCTCCCTGCCTGCATTCCCGGTCCTGGCCACCCCAACAGGAAGGCAGAGGTCACGATGCCACCCCTCCCTCCCGGCCAGCGGAGGGCAGCCGCTCACCTGTGAGGTAGGTGTTGTGGGAGGAGTTGATGAAGTAGGCGCTCAGAGGCTGGGTCATGTCGTTGCTCAGATCCAGGGCCTCCAGGGGCAGGATGCCGTTCTCCTCCCCGCCCAGGTAGCGGCTGAAGCCCTCCATGGACATCTGGTCTGGGGGCCGGGAGGGTCAGCAGGGTCAGGGTCAGCTGACCCTGCTCCGGTCCTTGCCCACCACCTCCCATCCCGCCTGGCTCGCTCACCTCGCTCCAGGAACTGCTGGTTGGGCTCGTACTTCTCAATGAGCAGCCGGGTCTGGGCGGGCCCCAGGGGCGGGTACAGCACCTCGTTGAGTCTCGGGTCCCGTTGCTTCTGGTTGATGAAGTCCATGAGCTGCTCCAGTGTCAGGTACGGCTTGCCCTTGGCACCTCTGCGGGGAGGGAAACCGGGTCAGGCTGAAGCCGCGCCGGGCCCTGCGCCAAGCCCTCGCCCTGGCAGAGGGAGCTGGCACCCACTGACCGAGACTTAGGCAGGTCTCCGCTCGAGTCTCAGCTTCCCCATCCACTCCCCCCCCCCCCTTCGACACTGGCATTGGCATTACAAGGGCTGTGGAAGTGACCCGGTGCGCGGCCTGCCAATCTGGCCTCCAGACCCTGGACCCCGCTCCGCTCCAGCCCTCACTCGCTGAGAGAGCTCAGGCAAGCCCCGGACGGTCTGAGCCAACAGAAGCAGCTGGGCAGCAGAGAACAGAGCTGCAGGCGAAGCCCGTGCATGGGACCCCAACGGCTCCCCCCCCCCCCGCCCCCGGGCTGGAAGGAACCCTGAGCAGAGGTGTGCGGAGCATGGGGGCTGGAGAGAGGCCCAGCCCTGCTCACATCTCCAGCAGGATCTTGTCGATGTCCGGCCGCAGACACAGCTTGTTCAGGAACCGCTCAAAGATTTCCAAGGAGAACTCATCGGGCCGGATGGACTCGCTCTGGGGGCCGAGAGGAGTCTGGGGGTGAGAACCCGGGGCCCCCAGAGCAGGGGCCCCTTATTCCCCCCCCCCCCCCCCGCCCGCCCTGCCCCAGCCCCTTACCCGGTTAAAGTTGAGGCCACAGGACTCCAGGGCCGTCTCCACCCGCTTCTTATCTGCCGAGAACATCTTCAGGATGCTGGACAGATGGGAGGGGGCGAGGTCAGTGTGGGCAAAGGTCACCAGATCAGGGCAAGGTGCGGAAGGGAAGGGGTGCTCACTTCTTGACCGGGATCCGCCCATCCTGGTTCACCTGCAGCTTCAGCTTCGTGTATCTGGGGGGACAGGCAGAAGGCTCAGCCCTGGGGAGGCCACCGGCACACACACACACACACCCCCACCCCCGGGCGAGCCGGGGGCTCACGCTTTGCGCAGGAAGGTGTTCCGGGAGGCGTTCTGAGCCAGGATGTTCATGGCCAGCTTGAAGAGCTCCTCAGCCCAGACCTGAGGGTCAGGAGGCGGGGAGGGTGAGTGGGGCCGGAAGGGCTGGCTCGGCCACAGCCCGCGTCCAGAACCGGGTGTGGTACACAGTAAGCGCCTAAACGCTGCTTTGTCAGAGGACGGTGAGCATTCGGGGCAGAGAACGGCCTGGTATACAGCAGGCCCTCACGAGTGACGGCTGACAGCGCGTGGGGCGCTGCCTCCCCTGGGCGGCCGCTCCGCCCCAGCCCACCTTGGCGGTGTCATCCTGCACGGCCATGAAGTTCAAGAACGTTGTGTTCACTGGGTCTGGCCCGGCCACCACTGTCATCAGCTTCTCCTCTAGCCGGGCATCAGGGCCCCCGAAACCCAGCACCTCGCGAATCTTGGGGTCCTGAGTAGGTGAGAGCCAAGGGTGAGGACGGGTCTCCCTACCCCCCATCCCGTCACTCCCATGCTTAGCCCTGGGCCCCACCACTCACCTTGGGCAGGCGGGCGTACCGGCCTGTCCGTGTGTCCCTGATGGAGCTGATGTCCAGTGTGTCCACCTCCTGGGGAAACCACATGCCTGGCTGGGTTCTCACTGGCTACCGGGTGAGACCCCAGAGCCCCCAAGCTCCCCATCCCGGCCAAGGCCTGGCCACCCCTGCACCCAAGCCTCAGCCCCTGCCCTTAGCACTTCCGGCCCGGCCAGCCCGGCCGAGGGAGGGGTCAGCCAGCAGCCGGGGCCAGGGGCAGGGGCCTCGACCTGAGCGAGCCGCTCCGGCGCCCGCCCTCACCATGTTGGGCCCCGTCCAGTACAGGAAGAAGCCATTGGAGTCCACACGCAGGGTCACCAGGTTCCGGCTGGAGGCCTCCTGGGGATGGGATGGCACAACAGGGGTCAGAGTGAGGGCTGCAGCCCAGGCTCGGTCCCTGGAGACCCCGGGGCCACCGGGGCAGTGTGTCTGACTGGCAGCAAAGACGAAACCTCGCCCAGGCCAAGGTCCTTGTGGCTCCCTCGGCCCTCAGGACAAAGCTGAGGTCCGGGGTGTCCTCTGCGGTCCTCCCAGTGTCACCTCTCTCCAGACTCTGTCACATGGACTACCCTTTCCCCACTTCCAGCTCCTACGTCATTGTTCCTCTGCTGAGATGCCCTCTCCTTCCTTCTCTGCCTCTGAAGTCTGACCCACCCGCCTGGGGCGGACTCCGTGGCCCCCACCTCGGGCTGGATTCCCCCCGCAGCCTGAGAGCTCCCTGATGCTGATCAGCCCCGCGGGGAGTATTTATGGGATGAAAGCAGAGGGTTCGGAAATCTGACCCCCACGGCCCTTAGGACGACCAGCCAGCCCTTCCATCTGCCTGCACATCCATCACCCCACTCTGCCACCCGCAGCGCCCCATCTTACCCGGCACAGGCTGAGGAACGCAGCAGGCACTTACTGCGCCCTCGGAACTAGTGAACCGTCCTCCCTCCATATCCCCGCAGAGGCAGGGAGGGTGTGCTGGCCCCATTTTCTGAGCAGGGCCCGGTCCCTGGCACGCTCCCAGGGCCACCCCAGGCAGCGGAGGACGCAGCCAGAGGGGCGGTCAGCAGGGACTTGGACTTGGGTAGGGCCTGAGCGGCCGAGTGGCCACAGCTAGAACTCTCCCGCCCCATAGGAGACCCCTCCTCATCTTGCTGTCCCCCCCAAACTGCTGCTCCAAGTCTGGCAACCAGATCATCAATACAACCTCTGCCTCCACACCGTCCCTACTGGGTGCCAGGGCCGTTTCTAAGCACTTAACACTCAGGAGCTCACTTAGTCCTAACACACCGGACGTGGTGTGCACTATTGTTCTTCCCATTCCACAAACGAGCAGACTGAGGCCGGAGAGGCTGCCTCGCTTACGAAAGGTCCAGAGGAGCCGGGAGTGCGTGCGGCCGGTGCGGCTCCGGAGCCGGGCAGCCTAGCAGGCAGGGAAGCAGGACCCCGCGAGGCTCCCGCTCCCAGCCTGGGATTCCTCCCCGCGCTCCAGACTCAGTTTCCTCTTCCCTGAGATGGGCTGCACCAGCCCCGCCCATCCCAGGCTTTGCTTACAAACGACAGGAAGTGGATCTGAGGGCAGCGGGGTCAGGGAGCCCTGGAACAGGGGGAAGCTGGAGCCTCCGCACCTCCCTGTGCTAACAAACATCCCCAGCCCCTCTTCGGGGGGTTCCTGCCCCTGCCCTGGGACTCAGGGTACCCCAATAGTGTGAGGGGGGGAGTTCTGTAGCAATGCCCCCCGGGCCGAGCCCTGTCCCTCCCCAGGGTTCGGGCCTTCAGAGGCAGCCCAGGCCCCCTGCTCTGGCCCCAAGTCCGTGTCTGCACCACACCCCCCCACCCCAGGGCCCTCTCCCTGTTCCCACTTCCTTATTTGGGTTTATCACACTGGGAGGAAAAAGGGAAACTTTTCCCTTTAGGCCATCATGGGGAAGGGGTCTCTCCGGGGGCCCCTGGGGCTTCCAGGCGCCCTCTGCGTGGGGCACACCTGCTGCCCCGGCCACGCCCCCAGCCCCTCCCCCGCCCCACGCCCTCCCGCCCCACCCAGCCGGAAAGGCGCCCGGGCACTTCCAGGCCTCTGGCCTGGCGGGGTGAGCGGCGAGGAAGCCGGGCAGGCCGGGTGCCCCTGGAGAAGGAGGGGCGGGGTACAGGGGAGGGGGCAGTGTGAGATGAGGGTGGGGCCCAGGCCTGGGGCCCCAGCCGCAGGTGACAGTTGAGGCAGGGGAGATAAAAAGGGGTTTGGATTTATTGGGGTTCAAAGTCCCGAAGCTAAGGAGTGGAGCGCAAAGTTTCCCCGGGGTGGAGAAAGTCGGGGGGGCAAAGTCTCCAGTTAGGGGGCGACTTGGTGGGACCACCTGAGCAAGGCAAAGGGGCGCCAGCCAAAACAGGGTGGAAACGGGATGAATGGAGGAGAATGCTCAGACCGGGGCACGGGGCAGCGCGGGGTCCCAGCGGCTCCCACCCAGAGGGGGTGCGGCTGGGCCAGATTGGGGACCAGGGTCCAGCGCGGGGATCAGACCAGGGTTGGGGGGACGGCAGTGGATCGGCCAGGAGGGTGGGGAGGGGGAGTCAAAGGGGGGGCCGGGATTTATCGGGGTTCGAAGTCTCGGGGCCGAGGAGCGGAAAGCCCGACCTCCCGCAGCCCAGGGGCGGGTGGGGGTGGCGGCGGAGTCCTCGCCGCGGGGACGATCGGGGACTAAGTTTCCGGAGCGCAGCCCGTCCGGGGTGGGGGGGCGCCCTGGCCGGGCCAGGCTGGAGGGGGTCCCGGCGCGGGGCAGGGCTTGGGGAGCGGGTCCCCGAACCCGGGCGGGGCGGGGGCCCCGCGCCTACCTCGTCCCATTTGATGAACTTGCTCCCGCGCCGCAGGGTCTCCGCCACGGCGGGCGGCTCCAGCTGCAGCGCGTGGACGCCGGGCCTGGCGCCCGCCATGGCCGGGCGCGGGGCGGGCGGGCGGCCCGCGGAGCCCCGACGGGGACCGACGGCGCGGCTGCTCCTCCGCGCGCTCCCGCGGCCGCCTCGGCCCCGCGGCGTCAGCGTCCGCCTGCCCGCCGGTCTGCCCGGGACGGACCGGGATCGGCGGGGCCCGCGGGGCGGGGCGGGGGCGGGGCCACCGCGGCGCCGCCCCCTCCCACCGCGCCGCCCGCCCGCCCCGCGGCGGCGCCCCCTGGCGGCTGGGGCGGCGACTGCAGCCCGAGCGGGGATTGGGGCGGGGGCGTCGCTGAGTCTCCGGCGCTTCGCAGGGGGGGGGCTCTGCGGGGCGAGCCCGGGGCACGGGCTCCGCGGGGCGAGCCCGGGGCAAGGAGAGGGCGCCGGGGCCGGGGGGCTGGGGTGCAGCTGGAGGCACGGGGTGGAGACGCTGCCCGTGGAGGGGCGGGGTGGGGGCCAGGCCTGTTCCCCGGGGGCGCAGAGCCCTTCCCCCACCCACTCCCGCAGCACTCAGCCGAGTGCAGGAAGAGCCACCTCCACCCCCTGCCCTCCCTTCGCCTCGCCCCCCTGCAGCAGCCGCCCCGCCCTGGGGGCACTTAGCTAGTGGGCCTCCCGCCGCCAGAGCCCCACCTCCGTCCCCGGCCCGGGGGGCCCTCTCAGGACCCAGCGCCCTGCCTTCCAGAGAGAGCCTGGGGCAGCCCCTTGTGCTGCCCACCACCCGGCGCTGGGCCCGGCGCCTCGCTGAGCGCCGAAGCCGACACTGCTCATGGCCCAGAGGGTCCGGAGCCTCCAGGCGGAGAGAAGGGCGGGGGGCGAGGAGCCGGCCCTGCCCGCCAGCTCCTCCCGCAGGTGCCCTGAAATCTTTGTTCCAGGGATGGGAGGGGGAAGGCGCCGGGGCGCTGGGAGGGATGGGGCTGCAGCCCCTCCCGCAGGGCTTGGCTGGGGGGGCTCCCGCCTGGGGGGCCCTGTGGGAGCCCCCCCAATCCAGAGGCAGTGGCAGCCGCAAGTTTAAAGTAGAACTCATCCAGAGGGGCCAGCCAAGTCACCTAGAAACCCAGAAAAGACGAAGCTGGTTCTGGGGGAGGAGGGGTCAGGCGAGGAGGAGGGTGCCCTGCGGGTCCCTTTGCCCCAGGCTCTCCGACTGCCAACCCCCGAGGGGAGTACCGCCTGGAACTGGCTCTCCTCAAAGTCCCAGCCACGTGGGACGCCGGCCCTAACCTCAGGGAGCTCTGGTCTTTGGCCAAGGCCCTGTGAGGCGTGGTTATGCTCCACTTGAGGCCCGGAGCCGGGAAGGGACTTGCCCAAGGTCACTCAGCTCTGCAGGAGGTTTCCAGCCTGTGTCCTGACGGTCAGCGGTGGTCCCTCCACTCCTGGTCCCTGAGGAGAAAGAGGAAGGGGAGCTGGACGTATCTCCTCACCTCAGCAGAGCAGCAGAGCTGTGCCCCTCAGACCCGGGACCACGTGCAGGGGGGAGACGGCCTCTGCTCCCACCGGACCTGGCCTCTCAGTGCCTCAGCCCTCTTGTCCAGAAGCTGGAGGCTGTTGGGGAATTAAATAGACAAATGGGTAACCTATGACCCCTGGCTGCAGGAAGCAGGGCATCGAAAGGATGGCTCCCAGGCTGTGGGGGCATCAGGGAGAAAGGAGGAAGGACATGGATCTCTCTAGCAGGGCTAGCGGGGCCTGGAGCCAGGGCCTGAGCTCCGGGGTCTGAGCGGGGGACCCGGCCTGGGACAGGTGCGCCTCCCGGAAGCACCGGGCAGTAGCTCCTTCACAAACAGGATGGGAGACGTTCTCCTGGGCCGGAGCCTCTCCTCCCACCCGTGTCTCCTGAGGCCAGGGCTGCCCCCATTACAGGGCTCCGCTCCTCGGACACTTTTCCAGCCGTGGTGATGCTAATAGGGTTTCTCGGCAGGCGGTAATGGTGGAAGGCAGGCCGCCTTTCCGGCCTCTACCCTCGATTAAGGGAGCGCTCAGGGCCCACGGGACCCTCCCAAGGAGGCGCTGAGAGCAGCCTGGGCTGATGGAGCACTCTGGTGGGGGGGAGCTGGGACCCCAGGAAGGGTGGGGCAGGGAGGCCGCGGCCTGAGGCTGGAGGGATGAGGAGCGGCCAGCCATGGTGGCACCCTCCAGTCCCAGGGGAGTCAGGCGGGAAGGCTAGGGCTGGGATGTGGGCACCGAGCTCTGAGCTCTCAGCCCCCAACCACGGGAGGTCAAAGAAACAGCCCCTGGAGAGACGCAGGGGAGCTACGTGGCTTGCCCATGTCTTCGAGCCCTACTGGGCAGAGGCAGGGTGGGAACCCAGGTTCTGTGCAAGGCAGCCCGGCCTCCGAGAAGGCTGCGGCCAGCATGGTCCTCTGCACTAGCCCTTCCCAGCGTGGGTGGCCACGGGAAGGACTGATGGACAGGGAGTTGGCCCCAGGAATCTGGGAGTGCCCTGGGGGTGGCATCGGAGGTGGAGAGAGGGAAAGATAGGAATATACTGGACCCTCCCTGCTTTGCCCAGAGAACCCACAGGGGTTATCGGTTTTCCCCGTGAAATTTGGGCACGACAGGAAGCCTTCCCACCAGCCCTGAAGGGAGGAGGTACAGCAAGGTCACAGCACCGGGAGGGCAGAGTCTTCATGGCTTCTAGGCCCCACTCCCACAGCAAGCTGTGGTATATCCCCCCCTGAACCACGAGGACTCAAGGCCCTAATCAGTGTTCCCGTCCGGAAAGAGTAGACCAGACCGGCTCTGATGCAGTCAGGTGGGGTGTGTCGGGAATTTGGACTTGGGTACAATTGCTCCTTCTAGCAGTCCAGGCTCAGAGCTCCTTCTGGAAGCCAGGCCAAAAATGGGGCTTCTGGTGGAAAGGGTGGGTCCTCCCTAATCTATAAGGACAAGGGTCAACCCTTCCCCTGTCCCCCAGGCTGGCTGAAGGGAGACTAAGGCCAGAAGGAAGACTGAGGGAGAGAGGACACATCTGCTCACCCTACTGCCCCCAGGCTAAGCGTGGTGAGCCTGCCCACCCCCCAGTGGGCCCGGCCCCTCCCAGGGAAACACACTCCAACCCCTCTGCATCTTCCCGCATTCCCACCTTCTGCCCTCTCTTCTCTCCAGCCACGGGGTAAGCCTAAAGTGCCTTACCCTAAAGTGCCAGGTTTGAGTTTGGCTGCTGTCTCAACCTCTCTCCACCCCTCCTGCTGCAGAGGGCTTCTCAGACTCCAGAGAGGTGTCTGTGACGGGTGGGCACAGAAACACTGCCTCAGACCCTGATACTCAGCTCGAAAGGAGCGCGAGCCTGCCCTGGGTGGGAGCACCCCAAGGAGCTGCACAGCCCTATCGGGTGGTGTCTGAGGGGAGGTCGGGGGATGAGTAGAGATTGTGTCAGGGGCCTGGGATCACAAGCCCATCTGCACCTCTATTTGTGGGACTTAATGAACCTCCATGTTGCAGTCATTGGACCTTCTATGCATTTTCCTATTTAATCTTCACGGCAACCCCAGGAGGAAATTAGGCACACAGAAAGCCATTCATTCTTTCATTCAGTCATTTGTTCAACCAATAGCGATAGACCACCTCCTATGGGTCTGACATACATGCCGAGAGCTCAGCAAGATCAGGTAATTTGCTGGGTACACGTGTGTGTGTAGCTGAGCACGCCCACTCAATCACCAGCCTCCGCAATATGGGAGTCCGGCAGGTTTCGGCCCCATGGAGCTCACAGTTTGGAAGTGGGAGACGGACAATGAACAAGTGAATGAGAGAGACTCTAAAGATACAGAAAATCAGATGGGATGGTGTGTGTGCGGGTTGAGGGGAAGAAGAGGGAGATGGCGGGTGGGAATGAGAGCATTCTGCTTAAGAGAGGTGGGGCAGGAAAAGGCCCTGTGAGATCTGAGGGCCAGGACCTGCGGGGAGCGAGTGAGGTCTCCCCAGGCTGGACTCCGGGCACGCTTATTGTGGATCAGTTGTTATTTTTATTGTCCTGAGTAGCGGCTCCCTCACTTCCCAGCCTTTTATGCCTGCGTTTCCTCGTTTGTATACACGTTGCGGGGTGCGCAGGGCCGCACCCTGTGAAGGTCAGTCCTATGAGGGCTCCCAAACAAAGTTCTGTGCTTCCCAGCCCTGCTCCGCTGCAGAGGAGGGACTGCCAGGCGAGGCCGGGCCCCGCGAACTACATTTCCCATAATTCCGTTCGCCGCCGCCATCTTGGCCGGTGGGCGGTGGCTGCCTGGGGTCTGGCCCTTCCGACCGCCAGGTCCGTTCTGCTCCCCCCATCCCGGCCTTCACCATGAGGGGTCCAGGACCCCGCCGAGTAGGGCGTCGGGGCCTGGCAGCTCCTGCCCGCCATCTCCGCTCCTCACCCGTGGGAGCCGGTCCACGTGTCGGCCGCGCGGAGAAGCCTGCTCGCCCCCCGCGGGCCACGCGCCGGCGGACAGGCGCCGGGGCTCCCACACCTCCTCGCCGGACGTCCGCCCGGCACACAGGCCCACTCCCTCCCTTTCCAGGCGGCCCGTTTCTGCTCAGTGGGAACAGGATTCCAGGGTGCCAATGGGGCATAAGTCCCAGTGCCCGGCGCCTAGGACACGAGCTTGGGGAGGGCCGCTCTAGGGGTAGCGGACCGCCGCCCGTCCCCCGGCCCGGCAGACCCTCCTGCAGCTCCGGCGGGGCGGGTGGGCGGGGGACGGCGGCGGGACTGGCCCTTTAAGGGGGTGTGGTCGGGGGCGGGGAAGCCAGCGAGACAGAGAAAGAGACTCCGGCGGCAGCGGCGGCGGCGCGGGCGGCGGCCGCGGGGGACAAAGGGCGGGCGGATCGCGGAGGGGGCGGGGCGCGGCCAGCCAGGCCCGGGGGCTCCGCATGCAGCAGCTGCCCCCGGCCGCCCCCGCCGCCGCCCTCAGCGCCGAGTCCGCGGAGAAGAGCCCACCGGCTAGCCCGCGCCGACGGCCCGCAGCCAGCCGGCGGGCGCCCGGGAGGCGGCGGCGCAGGGAGGGGCCGGACGCGCGCACGTGGCCCCGGCGGCCGCCATGGCGGACAGCGGCCCCGCGGGGGGCGCGGCGTTGGCCGCCCCGGCCCCCGGGCCGGGAGGCGGCGGCCCAGGGCCCCGCGTCTACTTCCAGAGCCCGCCCGGCGCTGCCGGCGAGGGCCCGGGCGGCGCGGACGACGACGGCCCCGTGAGGCGCCAGGGGAAGGTCACGGTCAAGTACGACCGCAAGGAGTTACGGAAGCGCCTCAACCTGGAGGAGTGGATCCTGGAACAGCTAACTCGCCTCTACGACTGCCAGGTGTGTCCCCCACCCCACGCCGGCACCCTAAAGCCGCCCCGAGCCGGGCTGCCTGGGCACCCCGCCTTGAGCCTGCCTGTCACCCGAAGGCAATGGGCACGGCGCTTCCGCGCGCGCTCCCCGCCCGGCTGCTCCCCGCCCCCAGTGTTTGCTCTTTTTGTCTGACTTAAGTCACTCGTCTTCTCCGCTGCCTCCCTTCGGCCACCGCCTTGGTCAAGCTTGGGGTAGCCTGGGCTTGGCAGGAGGCGTGGGGTAGCTTGCGCTGGCAGCGGGAGGAGGTCTGAGTGCCTGCTGTCCTAGACTGGCTCCAGGACGTTAGCCCGTTGGCGAGGGGTCCATAACCAAAGCGTCGGCTTACTCCAGGGGGCCAGCCTGTAGCTCCATGTTGGCATCGGGGCAGGCGGGCCGGCTCCCTGGTTCAGGTTCTCCACCCCATGACGCCTTCCTTGCTCACACCGTGACTCAGACCCCTGGGGGCAGGGTGGAGGAGTGGGCTTGCCCTGCTGCCGGTCCTAGCCCAGCCCTGGAATGGTGCTTCCTCTGGAGAAGTGGCAGGCACCCGCCCACCACAAAGCATGTACTCTTTGTTTCCCCCTTACCAGCCTGGGTCCTTCTCGCTGACCCCTCACCCTGCACTTCCTCCTCACTCCTGGGAAGCTGTGACAGGTGTTTGGGGGAGGGGAAAGGGCTGACGAGCTGGGACAGCTGGCCCCACCTGTTCTGGTTGAAATGGGGGGCCCAGAAGTTAGGGAGACACATCTGCAGTATTCCCAGCCCAGGGTCCCCAGCCCTCGCTGTCTGGCACCTAGGATGCCCAACTGGCAGAGACAGGAAGTATCTCTCCCTCCCCCCCATCGGGCAGTTTTCCTTGGCAAGGGCCTGGTCTGTTTTCTTCCTCAGAGCAGCTGCTGCTGTCTGCTGGGCACAGAGGGCTGGCTCTTCCCAGAGCAGGGCAGGGGCCTCAGCCAGCAAGCCCCTCTCAAACCCCTCTCCCCCAACTCGGGCCTTTGTCTCCCCCCTCCCCCCACCCCAGGAAGAGGAGATCCCCGAGCTGGAGATTGACGTGGATGAACTCCTGGACATGGAGAGTGATGATACTCGGGCTGCCAGGGTCAAGGTGAGAGGGGTGGCAGGGTCAGGTGGGGGCAAGAGGGGGGGGGTCATGGAGTAGAGGGCTGCAGGGAGGCAGTGCCAATTAGGTAAGCACAATTCAGAGCCAGGCCTTTTGTCTGGTGCGGCCAGCTCTGGCACTGAGCCTCAGCTTTGCCTCCAGAAAATGGGGCCCATGCTACTTGCCTAGCGATGGCATCCTGACCTTCGGGGTGGCACAGCCCCTTAGAAGTGGGCATGGGTAAACTCCAGGCCCCCGTTCCCGAGAACTCAAAATACTTCTCCCTTATGTCCCATTAGGAGCTGCTGGTTGACTGTTACAAACCCACTGAGGTACGTGGTTTCCCCAGAGGGTGGGGGGTAAGCCCGGGCTCCTGTCATCTTGGGACCTTGTCTTCCTAATGTCCTCCCTCTTGTCCAGGCCTTCATCTCTGGCCTGCTGGACAAGATTCGGGGCATGCAGAAGCTGAGCACACCGCAGAAGAAGTGAGGGTCCTCCACCCAGGTGAACGGTGGCTCCCACAGGACAATCGCTGCCCCCTGACCTCGTAGCAACAGCAATACCAAGGGGCCCTGCGGCCAGGCCTGGTGCCATGAGCAGGGCTCCCTGTGCCCCTCACTTAGGGGCCTCTTCCCTGCCCCTTGTTTTCCACTTTGGGGTTTTTTTATTATTATTAAACTGATGGGACTTTTTGTGTTTTTATATTGACTCTGCGACGCGGGCCCTTTAATAAAGCTAGGATATGCCTCTGGTGCAGCTAACAGGCTTGGTTGGTCTCTTTTAGGGGGACACACTGCTCTGTAATGGTTACCAGCTCAGCTTCTCCCCAAGTGACTGGAGGCCTTCCTGAAGGCCACGTAGTCATGGTGATAGCCCAGTGTTGGCTCCCAGACCTGGAGCTAAAAGTGGCTGGGGAGCAGGGGGGTGCGGGAGAGGGCGCTGTTGTTGTTGGCAGCAAGAATACTTTTTTTCCATTCTGGGCAAGGGCCACCATGCCACCCAAGGCCTGGCTATCTTGACCCCCAGGCTATTGAGCCTAGATCCCAAGATTCTGAACCACAAAAGGAGACCGTCCGGGGTGCCGAGGAAGAACGGAGGCTGGGCTGTGGTTTCTAAGTCTCTCAGGGCCCACAAACACACACAGGCTCCTTTCATGACTTTAAGGTTTTTTTTCTTAAACAGTCTGGTCCCTGATGGGGCCTCTCCACCGGCCCTCCCCAGCTCGGCTACAGTTCTGAACGGCGCTCGATTTTGAGCAGCTCCACCTCGAACACTAGGGTCGCACCACCTGTGGCAGAGAAGTGAGGTAGAGTGAGTGCCAGGGCCACAGGAGGTGGGAGAGGGGCAACGGGAAGGGGCCAGAGGTATCTTACCTGGGATCTTTGGGGGAGCGCCTCGCTCTCCATACCCTGTCAAAGACGCACACACAGAAAACACAGTGAGCTGTGGTCAGAGAGAGGTTCTGCAGACATTCAGGCTGAGACCAGGCTTCTGCCCAGCCAGCAATGGCGGTGTAATGGGGTGGACAGCAGAGCCGAGTGCCTCAGGGTCTTGCCCTGATGTTGCTGAGCACAGCTAATCTTGGAAGAGGCATTAACTGTAATGACTGGGTGGGGGAGACCAATACAGAGGCTGAACCAGCCTTCACCCTTCCCCAAACACCCGGAACCCTATACCCATCAGGAAGGCCCACTTACCCAGCTCCGATGGGATCACCAGTTTCCGCTTCTCCCCCTCACACATCCTGCAGGACAACAAACTCAGCATCTGGCAGCACTCGGCTCCCTATCCTCCCTCCCCCATTCCTGGGGCTTGCCTCCCACCGTTCACCTGGACCACAGCCATGGCCCCTGACTCACCCCAGCAGCCCCTGGTCCCAGCCCTTGATGACCTGGCCCGTGCCCAGGGAGAAGACAAAGGGCTGGTTCTTGGGCAGGCTGCTGTCAAACTCCGTCCCATCTTCCAGCTTCCCCTGTGGGACCATGGGAAGGCCAATGAGGAGGAGGGTTCTGACAGCACCCCACCCCCAGCTCTCGTCGTCAGACTGTCCCCCCACAGCATTGGTGGCCATAGCCCTAGAAGGGGACAGAGCCTTAGGCAGCTCACAGGACATTGTAACTCTTTGTTGGTGCCAACCTGGGGAGTGGACAGTGAGGAGCACGAAAGAACCATGGAAACTGGCAGAGGGGAGAAGGGACTTGCCCAAGGTCACCCACCTTAGCAGAGGAACCTGGCTCCCAAGTCCTTTTTGGTCCCTAGAATCCCCACCCACACCCAGAAGCTGGGCCTCCTCACCCACCGTGTAGTGCATGTGCAGGACGTCCCCCTTGCGCGATTTGATGGGACAGTGGTCTACCCGCTTCTTGACCCCGATCTGCAGTTTCCGCTTGCCCTCGGCCCCCGCAGCCGTGGCCAGGGCACTCAGGCAGATGGACAGGACTGTCAGGACCCAGCTGAGTCTCATGTCTCTGCGAGAACAGACCCCCACCGACCAACCGACCGGGAGGGCAGGAAGGGTATGGAATACCTGCAGGTGGTAGGCTTCCACACCACCGGACCTTGCCTGCCCCCAGGGAATCCCCTCGACCCGGTCACCACCCTCTCCCCCGGGCTCCAAGTCACACTTACCAGTCCAGTGAGAAGGGGGCTTGCCCGAGGACCCCAGCAGCGGGGGGAGGGGGTAAGGGGAGGCCACAGCAGCCAGGGCCCCGCCCCTTTGCTCACCCTCAGCCCTTCCTTCCCTCCTGGCCCCCAACTCCGTTCTTCAATTCCCACCCGTCCCCTTACGCAAAGTCCAGACCCTATCTGCCTGCACAGCAGTTGCCCTGACCGGGCGACACCACTCACGCCAAACCCAGTTGCCCCCTGCCCAGCACACCCACACCTCTGCCGCCGCTGCTGGGGATCGGCCCCGAGGCACCCACACATCGCCACTGGGGGGCTCTGGGGAGCCCCGGTCCTCTGGGGAGACCCCCCAGGCCGGCCCTGTGCCTCCGCCCGGGGCACCGCCCCAGCTCTGAGCCCTCGGGGGTCTGCGGGGCACCCAGACTGGCCCCGTGTCAGGTGACCGTCGAGCCCGCTCAACCCACACCACCTCTCCCGGGGGAGTTCTCGGCCTACCACGCTCCCAGGCCCGGCCACCACGGAGCCCGCCCCCGCGTGGACGCCCCGGGCCATTACCTGGGCCTACCCCTGCGCTCGGCTCCTTGGCCCCACCCTTCAGAGGGCGCGGTTCCGCCCCCAGCCCCGGAGCCCCACCCTCGACGGAACAAGATCCCTTTTCCTGAGCTGCACCCACGCGGCTCACCGGCTGGAGCCCCGCCCCCGGCGCCTGGGCCTCGTTCCCCTCCGTCTCCGAGCCCGAGGCTCCGCCCCCCGCCTGTCCCAGCTCCTCCTCCAAGGCCCAGGCCCCGCCTCCCACAAGCCCTAGCCCCGCCCCCGGGCCCAGAGTCCCGCCTTCCGCAGGTCCCAGCTCAGAGGCTTCTGCTCCAAGTTCCGCCCCGACTGCCAGGGCCCCGCCCCGTGCGGCGTGAGGGCCCTCCCCCTGCGGCATCCCCGGTCGGCTCCCGCACCAGCCTCCAGGATCCTCGTGCCCTACCCTCCTTGACACTCGGGACCCCGGCCTGACCCAGCCTGCCCGCGGACACCCCGGCTCCCTCAGCCCGGGCTGTGGCCCCCGCTCACCTCCTCGCCGCGCCCCCGGAGTCAACTCGTCGTGCCACCGCTTCTGCGCAGGCGCGTCATTGCGGCTACCAGCCCGGGCCACGCCGCCCGCCCTCATTGGGCCGCGCGAATCCCGCCGCCACCGCCCGCGGGGGAGGGGACTCCCTTAGCCCCGCCCTCTAGAGCCACGTGACCTTCGTCACTTCCTGTCACGCGGTAGTCGGTAAGGTTAGGTGAAAGTGACTTCCGAAAGGACCACAGGCACTTCCGGTGGAGGTGAAATTAAGGTCAGGGGGCGCGGTTCCTGAAAAGTGTCTTGAGACGCCATTTTGCGTCGCCCCAGCCTTGCCCACGACATCCCTGGTGTGTCCTCAGGCCTCCCCTCCCCCCAGTTAGTTGCTGTGGGAAGACTCGGCCTGAGTGAGGCGGGTTTGAACTCGGGGCCTGCCTGTCACTGACTGACTGACCTTGAGCTGAGTTCCTGGCCTGGCCGGCTGAGTACCCCACCCGGCAGGCCCCGGCAGGATTGCAGCGATGCTGTCCACCGCCAGGCGCCCGCCCACAGCCAATGCTCTCCCTCTTCTCTCCCCAGGCTTGCCTCTGCTGGTCGCCCACTGACCACTGAGTCAGCTGCAATGATGTGGCTGTTATTTTCAGGCGCCCCAGTACCCAGCAAACATTTAAAACAACGAATCTGCTGTGAGCAGGCAGGTAAACCTAAGGTTAGGGAGACAGCTGATTTGAGGTCAAATCCCTGGTCAATCGGCCTATTTTACCCAATAAAAAAAGGAAGAGTCACAGAGCTGACCGCGGAATATAGGAGTAAGCAAGGAGGTGCGGGCGAAGCATCGTGCATGCCCAGTGCGGCCAAGTGGACTGAGATGGTAACCCGAGGTCTCTAACCCTCTTCTCTCCTCCTACCTGGGCTATGGCATTTTCACTGACAGCATGGCGATCATGACATGAAAATATTAATCGCTCAGGAATTGTCTTCTGGTTTAACCCCACTTTTGCCTTGGGCCCAACAAGATCACTATCACAACCTCAAATCTACCATCAGGAGGGTGGGTGCTTCGGATTGACCTCTGCCCCTGAATGTCCCGCCTCAGCAGGGCAAAGCCATTTGTAGCCAGAGTTGGCCTTTGGACCACCCCCCTCAGTGCCTGGCAGCACGGGAGTCTATAGGCAGCAGGCTGGGCAGTGCGCTTGGACCGGGGCAGAGAAAGGTCAGGAGAGTCCCGAGCAGGGGCACTCCAGGTGAAAGGGAGGTGAAGGTGGAGAAAGCAGGGGGGGGGGGGGGATTGCTGTCGGGGGCCTATCTCAAACCAAGCCCACCAGCCTTGGACCTTTAGTGCTTCCCATTCAGGGAGAGGGAACAAGGCGGCAGGTGCACAGCTTGAGAGTTAAGCTACAGGGGGGCAAAAAGCAGGAGACGGTGCTGCCCAGCAGGGAAGGTGCGTGTTCTCTTCTGTTACGTCACATGCTCAAACCTTCCTGAGCCCCAGGGCCCGGAACAGAGTGACCATCCATGTCCTCCGTGTGCACACGTGGAAAGTGGGGCTCAGGCAGAGGGGCAGTGACACCCAAGGTCATTCAGCAGATCCGCTTCCCACCACAAACTCACTGGCCATCATCGGCCGTCCCCTCCAGAGCAGGGGGGCGGGGACTCCCTAGAGTCTGGCCATAACGACATGAATGTGAAGGATACATGCCTGGGCTTAGGTTGTGACTTGGTGTGGGACCTTGGGCCTCATTTACTCCATCTGCACCGTGAACAGAGTAAGCAGTTCTGGGTCTAGGAGGCAGTGTAACACAGACATTCATGCCTGAACCAGCCAGCCTGGGCAGTGACAGACAGTGACACAGGAGGGAGAGCTCTGTCCATCTCTTTTATGGGGGCGGGGGGTTGGGGGGCGTTGTCACAGTTCTCATTCCAAAGCCCAACTCCCATTATTTGCAGAGCGTCAGGGGCATCTTAGTAAGGGCAGGGAGGGGCCCGCTGCAAGCTGCGCACTGACACAGGGCGGTTAGACACTGACACGGGACCCCGTTCTCTCCCACATTGGTAAGCGACCCCTCTTGCTGCCGCCAAGTCTCATCCACCTCTGCCCACCATGTTGGAGGGCAGCCTTGCAGAGACAAGAGCTGGCCAGAAAGCCCTCGGAGAGGCCCAGGCCCTTGAGTCCCTCTCCGGAGTGCGGCCTGTGAGGCAAGCGGCCCCACTGAGTCTGAGAAGCAATGTGTCACTTTCGCAGCTTCCGGCACCTGAGGGGGGAAAAGAAGGGGATTCTGTTTGTGCTGCCTCGGCTCAGCATCTGCTCCCTCTGGACCCGCCCCCTTGTTTCCCTTCTGCGACACTCATTCTTTCCCAGCATTCCAAAGACACCCCAACTGGCCTAACTCGTGGCCTCGCTGTGGAAGGGATGGGCTGTGAGAAGCCCTCGGACGAGGGTGAACGAGGGTTACACTCCGTCCCCTGCCTCTCAGAGCCCGTAAAGTGGGACAAATGTCTACCATAGTGGCTTCTGGGAAGGCCCAGAGGTTGCAAACTGGAGAGCTGTCTCATGTCTACTTCAGGCAGATGTCACCTCCTCCAGGACATCTCTGACCTCTCAAAGGACGACGCCAGGTGCGCCTTACCAGAGGCCCTGACAGCCTCTGCTGGCATCAGTGTCCTGTGCCGGCTCCTGCCCTGGAATGTGAGCCTTGTTTATGCCGAGCCCGGCGCCGGCAGACACTCGGTAAATATTTGTTCAACACATTCAACAGCTTCCCCTTCCCTGGCTCCTGTCCCACTGGCAGGCGCGCCCTGGGCCTGCACCAGGACAGGGCCTTGCCGGCTTCCCAATCAGCTGCCCCCCCACCCCCCAGCTCCTCACCTGCAGGTGTCTGGGTTGAGCTCTAAGCCCCGCCCTTGGCAACGGAAGAAGCTGCGGCGTCGGCAGCGGCAGCGGCAGGTCCTGGGGTCAGGGCGCTGGCGGTGCTGGGTACAGCGTGGGCAGAGGGGCCTGGGGCTGGAGTGGGATGGGTGATGTCAGCTTGGGAGTGTGCTCCGGGGGCAGGGTCCCAGCCCGGAACAGAGCGGGGCTGGGGATGGTGGTGGGGAGTATCAGCCCTAGGAGGAGAAGAACGTGTCTGGGGCGAGAAGGAAGAGTCTTCCCTGGAGGGGGCTGGGGTGGGTCAGAGCACACACACCGGGGAGCAGAGGGAAAGGGGAGCGGGGGACACAGCGGGAGGAGAAAGAGGGGAGCAGGCCACAGCTTCCTGAGGCTTGCACAACCCTTGCCCCACCCACACGTGGCATCCTGGGCGCTGGGCCTGGGTTCCAACCCCACCTCGACAGGAACCCAAGAAACTCACCTGTCTGGCTTCACAGCACCCTCTCTTTTTTTTGGTCTGAAAGAGAGACCGACAGAAACAAGGAGGAGGAGGATCAGGAAAGCCAAGCGTCCTACTCTCTTGCCCAGACCCCAGGCATGCCCGTCTCCACTCAGAAACCTGGTCCCCGTGGCGGGGTACCACCACGCCCACGCCCACACCCCAAGCCTGGTCTCTGCTCGCTCAGAGTGGGCCTGGCTGGCACCTGCATTCACACTGGCTGTGCTCTTCCAGGGACATTTCCCCCAGCTGGCTGCTCGGGTACCGGACCATGAGGATCTGTGTTCAGGAGAACAGGGAGAGACAAAGAGAGAGGAAGAGAAGACAGGACACTCCATGGGCAGGAGGGAGAGCCGCTTGCCCACCTGCCAGGGCTCTGGCTGCCATCCGTCAGCCCCGAGCACCAGCGCCCACCCCAGCCAGGCCCACGCTACCTGCATTCGGACTTGGTGCTGCCCGGTGGGCACGCATTCCAGGCCATCGTCAGGGCAGCAGCCGCCACAGCGCTGCACAGTCACACAGCTGGGTACCAGTTGTTTGGCCACGGTGCCCATGAGCTCCAGAGTTAGGGGCACAACCACCTCCCGTGGCTGGCAGGTGGCGCGCGCATACACATCTATCCATGACACCACTGGGGACAGATGCATACGGGTTACGTCCCCACTGGTTTCCTGCAGCTGCGCCCCAGCCCCTGTGTCACAGCCACCCTCCGCTGGCCCCCGCTTCTGCCCTCCCAACCTGTTCACCCAGAACCCAGGAACCCCCTTCCTCAGTTTCCACTTCTGTGAAACGGGCAGGATAAGGGTTTGCACCTCACGCAACAGCTGTGATTAACCAAGAGGATGAACACACAGCACCTTAGTGCCGGCTAGCCAAGCGGCTACTGTTACCTTTCTTCTGGAGGCCGGCGGCGGCGTCAGGCTGGGGGCCGGGCGCCTGCAGGAGACAAGAGACCTGGGCCGAGGTGCACTCCTGCTGGGTTCACTGCCCCAGGGCCCTGCCCTTGCAGTCAGGAGGCTTCAGCTCCTCGCTGACATTCTCCCCGATGGCTCCACTCCTGAGGCCACTCGGCTTTCCCTGTCCTCTCCTGGCCACCTGGGGCCTGCCCCAGCCATGACCGCCAGGCGTGCTCCGCCGGCAGAGGCCCCTCTCCCAGCCCGGGGCCAGGCTTGTCTGGAGGCCGCAGGTCAGAAGGGGGCACGCCGGGCACCGTGGCACAGACACCCCGGCAGCTCCGCCCCGGCGGCGGCGCCCGGGGAATGGGGTGGGGCCGGGGAGGGGCCCCGGGGATGGGCCGGCGGGAGGATCACCTCCCAGGGGATGCCCAGGCCGACTCCGGCCGCGTCCGGCCCGCGAGTCCCCTCGCCGAGGCCGCTCGCGCCTCCCCACTTCCGCCAACCTTGAGAAGGGCACGGCGGCGGCGGGCGCACGTACCTGGGCGCGGGCCAGCTGCAGGAGCGCCGCGAGCAGCAGGCGGCGGAGCAGGGCGCCCATGGTGCCCATGGGGGCCGCGGGCCGGGGGCTCCCGCATCGCCCTAGCCGGGCGGCGCCGGGGGCGGCGGCAGCCGGAGCCCCATGGCGCGGGCCGGGCCGGGGCGGGCGGGGGCCGGGCGCGGGGGGCGGCTCCTCCGCGGCCCCCTCCCGGGCCCTGGGCGCAGGCAGCGCAGCTCCGCGCAGAGGCGGCGGCCGGAGGAGCCGGGCGGCCGGCGGGCGGCGGGCGGCGGGCGGCGGCGGGGACGGCGGGGGCGGCGGGGGGCCGGCCCGGGCTGGCGGGCGGGCCGCTCATGTGACCCAGACACGCTCCCACCCGCGGGCAGGGGCGGGGGCGGGGCGGGGGCGGAGGGGCGCGGCCGCCCGCGGGCCCGCCCTCCGCACCCCCTCCCGCTGCAGCGGGGAAAGGGGACGCACCGCCCCGGGGGCCGAGCCGGAGGGCGGGCGTGGTCCGAGGAGCGGCGGGGCTGGGGGTGCGGGGCCGTAAGGGGGGAGTCGGGGCCAGGGCCGGGGGTACGGAGCCGTAAGGAGCGTCCGGGGCTGGGGGTGCGGGGCCGTAAGGGGGGAGTCGGGGCTGGGGGTGCGGGGCCATAAGGGGGAGCCGGGGCCGGGGCTGGGGGTGCGGGGCTGTAAGGAGGGAGGCGGGGAAGGCTGAGAATCACTTTATTGCACGCGTTTTTGGGCAGGGACGTCCGGAGAGGGCACACGCAGCGGGCTCCGTCCCGGTGAGAGGCTCAGGGGGGCACGATCCCTGGGCCTGGGGGAGGCTCGGGTGGTGGCTGCAGCGGCGGCCTCGGCTGTTGCTCCTGCAGGAGCCTGGCTCTGTTGGCCCTGCGGAGAGAGCCGGGGCGGTTGGCACGGGGACCCCGGAGGCTGGTCCCAGGACGGTGAAGAGGGGGCGGGCGGAGCAGGGACAGACCTGGCTCGGGCCCGGGTGTCATTGTAGATGGTGGTGATGATCCGGTCCTTCTCATCCATGAAGCTCCGGTGCATCTGCTCCAGCTTCCTGCAAGCGGGTGACAAAGAACGCTGGGTCCCCCAAACCCTCCTGTCCCCCCCGCGAGGGTGTCAGTGCTTGCTGTCTGTGGGAAGCTTGGCCGAACTGCCCGGGCTGGGCGAGGAGGGCAGTGCGGAGGAGCCAGGCTTGTCCAGGGTCCAGTGGCCACCCCGGTCCCTGGCTGTCCTGCGGAAGGTGAGGACAGCAGCACCGAACACCAGGGTGGTCCTCGGAGAACTTGGAAAGGGTGTGTGTCTAATGCCATCCCTGAACTGGTGGGCACTGCCTCTGTGTACCTGTGCGGGAGTGCCCGTGCGCGAATGGGACGGGGGGGGGGGGGGGGGGGGAGAGATAGCTGGTGCCAAACCAGTGAGGACAGCTGCTGGTGAGCCTGTTACCAAGAATTTCTTTCTTGTGCCTGACTTTGGTTGGCTCCACCACTCCTGGTAGTCAGCACCCAAGATGCACACGCCAATTATGAAACACAAAATACCCTGGAGATGACGTTAGCCCCTAGCGCAGAGCTGCCTGGGCTAAGGAAAAAGGGGCTCCAGAGACCTACTCCATACAGCCCTTAGCTTAGAGACAGGGTGGTGCAGACGGCCGACTGGCCACGCTGGGCTTCGCGCCCCCCCCCCCCGCCCTCTGCCCTCCCCGGGAAAGGCAGGGTGCACCTGAAGGCGACGTAGTGCAGGCCCATGCCCGCCAGCATGATCAGGAGGCAGTACCCCAGCACCCGCTGGTTGTGTCTGTACTGCTGCCGCCTCGACTCCGGCCTCTGCGGCCTCACTCTATGAAACTGGGCCCAATATTGTGCATTCGGGGGCTCCCAGGAGCTGCTGGGAAGGAGAAAAAGAGACATGAGGGGATGAGGCACCCAGGAGGTTTGGAGGAGAAGCGAACGGCAGGCGTTGTACCTGTGCGCCTGGTGAGCAGACGCGGGGTGGGCGGCGGCCCCCGGGGGCCTGGGGGGAGCGGCTGAGCGGAGCTGCTGGTCGTAGCTGTGACGGCTCTGCTCCCGGCTGAGGACCCGGTACGCTTCGCTCAGCTCCACAAAGCGGCTGTGCAGGGCTGGGTTCCCGGGGTCCCGGTCAGGGTGCAACTGAGGCGAGGCAGGACTCCCCTCAGCTCCCTTCCCATGCTGCCAGGACCCATCTCCAGTGTGTCCACCCACAAGGGCTCCATCACTCCCAGTGGCCTTACCTCTCAGGCCTCTGGCTGGCCACCCACCAGAAAGCCTGAGTCAGGAAGCACTCGCCTCCCTGCCCACCTGCTGCCCGCCTCTCACTGATCCCAAGGCCCAGGTGTTTTCAAGAGCAGGCAGGTCCAGAAAAACAAGCTCAGCCCAGCCCTAGCCGACTTGGCTTAGTGGACAGAGCATTGGTCTGTGGACTGAAAAGTCCCAGGTTCGATTCCAGTCAAGGGCATGTACATTGGTTGCGGGCACATCTCTGGTGTGCGGAAGGCAGCTGGTTGATGTGTTTCTCTCATCGATGTTTCTGGCTCTTTATCCCTCTCCCTTCCTCTCTGTGAAAAATCAATAAAATAAATTTTTAAAAAAATAAATAAGAAAAACAACAACAACAACAAGCCCAGCCCATCAGACAGGACACCCTGCCCAACCTCTGTCCCTGTGGCAGTCCCCCTCCCTGTGGCACCAGCCTCTCAGCTCCATCCTGGGAATCTGACCGGGATCCCAGGAACCCAAATGGACTCCGAATTCCCCTCCCACCTCCCTGCCTAGGCCCGCTGGCACCTCCTTGGACTTGGAGAAGAAAGCCCGTTTAATTTCCTCAGTGCTGGCACCAGGATGGACCCCCAGCAGCTCGTAGTAGTTCCTGGGACCAAACCTGCGGAGAGAGGCCAGAGCCTGAGGGGCTCAGGAAACACAGAGGATACCCCTCTTCCCTACCGTTCCGGCCCCCTGGGCCACACGCTTCAACTCAGCAACCAGGCGCTGAGAGCGCTGAAGCAGGTGCCAGGGAGACCTCCCTGCCACCCAGCACTAACCAGGCCCAGCCCTGCTGAGCTTCTGAGGTCAGGCGCGTTCAGGGTGGTATGGCCGGAGGTGGGAGACCTGCCTCCAACAACCCTCCTCTCTGGGTGTTTGGGGATGGGGCAGGTCAGACCAGGGGGCCTCAGCAGGTGGTCCTCAGACTCCGTATGTCAGAAACTCCCGGAAAGCTTGAGATTCCTGAGGCCAGCCGAAACCGGTTTGGCTCAGTGGATAGGGCTCGGCCTGCAGACTGAAAGGTCCCAGGTTCGAAACCGGTCGGGGGGGGGGGGGGGGCATGTGCCTTGGGCACATTCCCAATGGGGGGGGTGCAGGAGGCAGCTGATCGATGATTCTCATCGATGTTTCTAACTCTCTATCCCTCTCTCTTCCTCTCTGTAAAAAAATCAATAATATATATATATATATATATATTTTTTTTTTTTTTTTTTAAAAGATTCCTGACCCCCATCTCGTTCCTGCCGATCGGAATCTCCAGAGCAGGACCCAGGAATCTGCACTTGTGTTTCAACAAGCCCACTCCCCCGCCGGTGGAAGCAGCGATGCTCCACAGCCACAGGAGTTGTGGAAAGACATGGGGCTTGGCTTAGGCCAAACCCCACATCTGCCTCCTGACTCGCTGTACCTTGGCGGCTCTTCCTTCACCTAGTCCTCGGCAGGGAAGGTGAGGCTACCTGAAACGAGGCTGTAAGGCACCTGACAGATCCTAACATCTCAGCACCGAGGGCAGGGCCTGGCGCTGCCGCACACACCCACGGAACCTCCGGGAAGCCACCGGCCCCCCGCGACCGACTCACCGCTGCCGGGCGGCCTCCGCGAAGAGCCGGGCGGGAGGACTGCGGGGCCACGGCCGACAAAGGCACAGGCGCAGCAGGGGCAGCATGGCGGCGGGAGGACAGCTGGTGGAGGGAGGTCACAGGGAGAGTGCATGGGGGCCAGCCTGCAGGCGCTCCGGGGGCGGCGGGAAGGGGCCCGGCCCCCATTACCGGCCAAGGAAAGCTGGAGGGGGCCTGAGGACCCAGGGGCCGGTGGGGCCTCCCGGCTCCAGCTCAGACCCCGGTGCCCTGGACCTGTGCTGCCTGGAACCCGGGCCCTGACCCACCCCGGCCTCGACGTCCGGGCAGCCAGACGCAGGCTGGGAGACCCCCGCCCAGCCCGGGAGCTTGCCGGGGGAGAGGTGGGCAGTGGGTGGAGGAGGAGCCACACCAAGCCCCGCCCCCGCCGCACTCACGGCCTCCATTCCCTGCGCTGACTTAGGCCCCGCCCCACGCTCTCATTGGCTTAGACGCCCGGGTCACGCCCATCACACCGGAAGGACGCTGGGCCCCGCCCCCGTCACCCATTGGCCTTTGACACTTCGGGCCCGCCCCCCGAGGCCGGAGCCCCAGACGCGCGGAGAGGTGGGGGCATCCATCCCCCCGGAAGCGGGCGGCACCGAGGCTGACACGGCGTTAGGCTCTCCGCCCTGCGGCCGTCGCTCTGTCGCACGAACGTGGCTGTCAAAAACGCCGCTTTGCAAGGAAACACTTTGCACAGAGCAGTTTCCACCCTGTGGTCGACCCGGACCCTCACCAGAGCCTGGCGAGGGCACACGGCCCGCAATCCGGCTGGCAGAGGGCAACACCCAGGCCGGGCTTTCTCTTTTCCAAGCCGCTTGTCCCGGCTCTCACCCACCCCGGCTCTCCCAGCGGCCCCTCTGCCTCGTACAAACAGCATGTGTCAACGGAATCCAAGAATAAAGTCCTTTATTGTCCTTCGAACGGGCCGTGGTGGCAGGGCTGCGGACCCGAGGGCCACTCAGGTGGGGCTTCCCTGACCCCGGTTGTAGAGGAAGATGGCGCCTTTGGCGGAGGGGCAGAGCTCGGCCCACATTTCAGTCTCCTGCAGCCTCCTCACCCTCTGTGGGAGACAGAGATGCAGACGTGTGGCTCTCAGGGCTCTCGCAGGAGCTGTGCCCAGAGCCCCTGAGCCTCAGAGCCCTCGGCACTGTGCAGTCCCTACTGAACCTGGAAAGAGGCCGAACAGGCCCCGGGCCCCTCCCTTGGGCTTCCGGCATCCCCAGTGAGGCCTGTGGCTCTGGAGAAAAGCTCTGAGAGATTTGGGAGCCCCGTCTGCTCCCCTCCTGCCCCCCCAGACATGCATCTCCAGGCCTCTGCAAGTCCCAGCCCCCGCTCCTCGTCCACGCCAGACTTGGCCACCTCGCACCTGTGTCTCCACAAAGATGATTCCCGTGGACTCGTGGGCCTCGGGCCCCCCACTCATGTAGTGCTTCCTCACCTGCTCAGAAGTCAGGCTGCACCTGGGTGACACATGAGGATGGTGGGTGCCCAGTCCCAGGAGGGCCCCTGTGGAGCCCCAGCCGTGCCCCTCCACCCACACCCCCTGCCCAGGCCCCAGGCCCCTTCCCCCCAGAGCTAACTCACTGAACAAAGAACTCTGCACTGGCGCGGCCCGCACTGGTCTCGTTGCGTGCGATGCCCAGCAACAGCGGCTGGCTCAGGGTGAGCAGTGGCAGGTTCACCTGGGGCCAGGGTCCCACCTGTCAGTGCCCACGGCCCACAGCCCAGCCCCTCTCCGTGGAGACAGCGCACACACTGCCCTGGAGCTACACATTTCCCAGTGTGTGGCTCAGCTGTCGGGAGGCTGGGTGTTGGATCACGGGCACGCTCACTTTATAGGTGGGAAAGCCGGACCAGAGACTGAATCATTTGCCCAGCGCCACCCAAGGAATACCGATCGATCAGCTTCCAGTTACTTCGCTTTTCGGCGGAGTGGGCAAGGCCTGCACAGTGCTCACATTGTAAAGAGAAAGAACTGGAGGGGCACAGGAATGAGGGCTGGGCTGTCACTCCACGTGCCCAACTGCAGAGCCCAGTTCTCACCTCAGCGTCTCCTGTCTGCAGATCCTCCAACGTTAATTCTGGCACGTTCTACCACCTCCCTCCCAGCCCCCGCCCCGTCCTGGGACCCTCACTCACCTCATCACTTATCTCCTGGAGGACGCTGGAGAACAGCTCGTGCACCACCAGCGGCCCCGGGAGGTCCTGGTGCAGGGGGCTGTGGCCTGGGCACAGGGCCTGGGAGAGGGAGGCTCAGCTCCGGCCCCGCCTCCTCCGGCCCTGCCTCCCCCCAGACTCGCTGTCCCGGGGGGCCTGTGTGTGCAGCGTAAGAGCTGGCAGCCCCCTGACCCAGGCCCTCCTTCTCCAGATGGACAAGCAGAGGGCCCGCTGGGTCCCAGCCCCCACTCCCTAGCTCCTCACAGATCCGGGGAAGGGGTCAGCGAGGAGGCGGAGGGCGGCCTTGAGCAGAGATTTTCACAAGTAACCAGGCCAATTCCTCCTCCGAGGGGTGAGGACAACAACGCTGAGCTCTCTGGGTCTCCGTGCCTTTGCACCCAGCCTGGCATCTCACCTGAGGCTCAGGGTGCCCACCAGGCACGTCCACCAGCCCAGGGGCTTCGGCCACCCGCCGAGAGCGGCGCAGGAAGACAAGGAAGTCGTCCGCGGTAGCCAGGGCGGCACCCACGCCCAGGGGGTCTGCCAGGTAGGCCTGCTTGTTACCCCAGTCGGCAGCCCCCTGCTGCCGCAGCCAGGCGGCTGAGCTGGCCCAGTTGGTGCCCAGGAAGTCTCGGTAGGAAGTAAGGCCCAGGTGCAGGAGCAGCTGTGGGCCCTGCGAGCCGGCGGGCGCCAGGGAGGCCGAGTGCAGGCGGAACTTGGGAGCGTCAAACAGCCAGGGCTGGGCCCGGAGCCGGCTCTCCCAGGCGGCGGCGATGGCTCCGTCCCCTCCGGGCAGCGGGCGACGGTCGTAGGCTGGGCTCAGCTCAGCACGGACTTGATCCTCGGGCAGCCCGCCCGGGGGGCACTGCAGCAGCAGAGACACCTCGGGGTCCATGGTCTGGACAGGGCAGCTCTGGGGACAGTCACAGCCAGGCCTGTCACCTTGGGGACCTAGAGCACCCACAGACCTACTGAGGACACCCCCCAAGCCCTTTTGCACCCCCTGGGCAGTCAAGTGTCTTATCCTCCAGCAGGCGCCCGAGGCTCCACTGCTAGGCATGCCAGGGACTCCGGGCACCCCTACCCCCCGAGGCCCTGGGTCCAGTCCCCCCTAATGTCCAGCCTCCCAAACCCAGGGCGCGGGGGCTCAGCCTCCAGCGGGACTCACCGCCAGTTCAGCCCGCAGGCCCCGCCCCCTTCCCCGAGCGGAAGTGCCTGCCCTCCCGCCCCGGCTTCTCATTGGCCAACTTCGGGCGGAGCCGCGGCGGTCCGGCCCTCCCTCCCGGATCTTCCGCCCCGAGGTCCTGGCCGCCCGCCCCGCCTCCTCGGCCCGAGCCTGACCCGCGAGCCGGAGCGCGGGCTCAGCCCCGCTGGTCCCGCGGCTGGCGGTGTGATGACCTTGGGCAGGCCGTGCCCGCTGGGCTCCGGGTCCCACGTGCCCGGGGTGCGGGGGGGGCACCCCACATCCTGAGGCTGCGGCGCTCAGGGCGGGTTGGAGTCACGAGAGGCCCCTAACAGCCCCCCCTTGGCCCCGCGCCCCCAGGCTTTGGCCATGAGCTCTGGAGAGAGGAAGCTGGAAGCAGCGGGGCCCAGAGGGAGGAGGGCTCGCAGGCCCCGGGAACAGGTGCGCCCTCCCACCCTCACTCCCGACCCCACGGTGGGAGGGGTGAGGGGCCTGAGCCCCGGCTCCTGGGGAATGCCTGGCGGGCCTGGGGGCTGGGGGTCACACTGTTCTCTGGCTCTGGTCCCCCCTCCCCGGGCGGCAGCGGCAGGACAGGGGCACCAGGGGACCGGAGCCACCTCTGAACTCTTACAGGACCGAGACGTGCAGCTGTCCAAGGCGCTGTCCTATGCCCTGCGCCACGGGGCCCTGGCGCTGGGGCTGCCCCTGGGGGCCGGTAAGTGGGTCTGGAGGCTTCGGGGAGAAGGCTCCCACGCAGGGGGCAGTGCCAGCCTGTGTGACTCTCCCCCGGATCCCTCCACTGCCCACCGGTGTGGCCTGCAGGCGCCTCCTTCCATTCACGGGGAGACCCAGAGCCCAGTATCCTCTCCAGGCAAACTGGGGGGGAGCCTCTTTTTGGCCAGGCCTGTGACCCTAAAACATCTCAGAAGTGGGCACAGGGGGGCGGATGGTGGTGCAAATGAGGCTTATTGAGTACCCACTGTGAGTCAAGTACTGTACTAAGAGAGTCACTTTATCACTTAAAAAGATATATATATATATTTTTTTTCTTTCTTTAAATATATTTTACTGATTTGTTACAGAGAGGAAGGGAGAGGGATAGAGAATTAGAAACATCAATGAGAGAGAAACATCAATCAGCTGCCTCCTGCACCCCCCCCCCCCCCGGGATATGCCCCCAACCAAAGTATATGCTCTTGACCAGAATCGAACCTTCAGTCAGCAGGCCGACGCTCTATCCACTGAGCCAAACCGGTTAGGGCCACTTACCCTTTTTTAAAAAGATATTTTTATTGATTCCAGAGAGAAAGGGAGAGGGAGAGAGAGAGATAGAAACATCCATGATGAGAGAGAATCATTGATTGGCTACCTCCTGCACACTCCCCACTGGGAACCCAGCCTGCATCCCGAGCATGTGCCCTTGACAGGAATTGAACCCAGGACCCTTCGGTCTGCAGGAAGAAGCTCTATCCCCTGTGCCACACCAGCTGGGACACTTTGTGACCCTCCATGAGGCAGATCCTGTTCCCTTGAGCCCGTGTGGTCCCCGAGCCCAGGCTCTGCTCTGTTGTGCGTGTCTCCCCTGTGCGCTCCGGCTTAGGCCTGAGCAAGTTCGACTCCTGAGCGCCACCTGCCCGCAGGCGGCTTCGTGCCCCTGCGCGCCCTCCTGCAGCTGCCCCAGTTCCGCGGCTTCTCGGCGGAGGATGTGCAGCGCGTGGTGGACACCAACGCGAAGCAGCGGTTCGCCCTGCAGCCGGGCGACCCCGGCACCGGCCCCCTCATCCGGGCCAACCAGGGCCACTCCCTGCAGGTGGGGCCGGCGGGACAGTGGGAAAGCCAGGGGGACCCTTGCCTGGGAGGAGGTCTCACTGCTGCCCATCCCCCCCCTCCCGTGCCAGGTTCCTGATTTGGAGCTGATGCCCCTGGAGACCCCACAGGACCTGCCCCCGACGCTGGTCCATGGCACGTTCTGGCAGCACTGGCCCTCCATCCGGCTCAAGGGCCTGTCCTGCCGTGGAAGGACACACATCCACTTGGCCACAGGGCTGCCTGGGGACCCTGGGGTCATCAGTGGTCAGTATCCCCGCCCCCAGCTACTCCCACCCACTCTCCTCCCAGGTCCCCCCAAATGTCCAAAGCCCCCCCCCCCATGCCCGTACGCAGCAGTACCCCTTTTCCTCTCGGAGTCCAGTACCCCAGCCTGCCCACGTTTGGTAAGTGCCACCCAGAGGCCCCAGGCCCAGCTCCGGTTGTCTCTGCAGGCATGCGGCCGAACTGCCACATGGCCGTGTTCGTCAACGGGCCCCTGGCCCTGGCCGGTGAGTGGGGGGGCGGCAGGGCTGCCCGGGCCCCAGAGGGGGCCTGGGTCACAGCTCTGCTCTGTCTGCAGATGGAATCCCCTTCTTCCGCTCTGCCAACGGGGTGATCCTGACTCCGGGAAACGCCGATGGCTTCCTGCTCCCCAAGTACTTCACGGAGGCCCTGCAGCTGCGGCCGGCCCGTGAGAACCTCACTCCACCCGCTCCCTTGTGTCCGAAGCCTGTGTCCTCTGCCAACCCCAGGCTGACCGAGGTCCCCCTTTCTCTAACCAAGTCCTCTCTGCCTCAGGAAAACCCCTCTCCTTGGCTGGCGATGAAGAGACAGAGTGTCAGAGTGGCCCCCAGCACAGCTCCAGAGGAGGAAGGATGATCCAACAATAAAATATTTATTAAGAGGAAATGTAAAAAGATTAAAAAAAAAAAACAACAAAAAACCTTGCAGTTTGAAACTATCACTTCCCATCCTGTGGCTACAGCTGGCCTTCCTGTGGCTCAGGGACCACTCGTAGGCCAGGGAGCTGGTCTGGGCCCTCGGAGGAGGGAGGGTGACGCTGCAGAGCTCAGGACCGCCCTCCCTGGCCGGGGCGTGGCAGTCTGGCCCAGCCGGGCCCCTGGTCTGCACAAAGCCAGTGACGGTGCGGATGTGCCCAGCTCGGAGAAGGTGTGGGCAGTGAGTCCGGTGAGAGCGGGCTGCAGAGTGGCCGTGGCGGGCGGTGAGTGACAAGGGCGGTCAGGCGGGCCTCAGAAGGCCTCATGGCCGCCCGTGAGCTGCAGGAAGAGGTCCTCGTCCAGCTCCTCCCCGCGGGCCCGCTCCCGCGTGGACAGGAAGATGTAGCCCCCGATGTACTCGTGCACAATGCGGCAGCTGGCGGACACGCAGCTGAACGCCACGTTGATGTGCTCGTCGAACTCGATGGCCACCTGCGGGCGGGCGAGCGGGCGGGCGGGCGGTCAGGGGGCTGGGGGGGGGGGGAGCCCCGGCCCTGCCCTGGCTGGTCTGGCCGGTCCCGCCCGCCCACCCGCGGCCCACCTGCTTGATGTCCCAGTTGACGTTCCACTGGCGCATGTTGCTGAAGCGCCAGGTCTTGACCACGTCGCCCACGGCCAGGTCGATGCGGATCAGCCGGTTGTTGGCGATGCCCAGGATCTCATCCTTCCTGCTGCCCTTGAACCTGGTCGGCAGGAGGACAGGGTGAGCAGGGGCCCGCCCCCGGCCCGGAGCCTGCCCAGGCCGCCTGCTGCAGAGCTCGGAGCGGGTTGTGCAAGGAACTCATTTAGGCTCTCCGCGCCTCAAGTTCCTCATCTCGAAAGCGGGAGTTACCAGTGTGATCATCATAATAGCATCTGGCAGCGTCAGCACATAGTCTGGGCCTTTAAATAGCCTTTTCTGCCCGGCTGGCGTGGCTCCGTGGGTGAGCTTCAAACTGTGAACCAGGAAGTCACAGTTCGAGTCCCAGTCAGGGCACAGACCCTGGTTTCGGGCTCCATCCCCAGCAGGAGGCATGCAGGAGGCAGCCGATCAACGATTCTCTCACATCATTGATGTTTCTCTCCCTCTCCTTCCTTCCTCTCTGAAATCAATAAAAAATATGTTTTTGCATAAGTGACCTTTTTTTGTATCACCTGCTGCCTTGATCATATCTTCACAGGCTTAGAAAACGGGCAGGTGACACCCCCAGTCCCAGCAGCCACGTTGGCTCGTCCCACCGACCAGCTTCCGGAGGTCGGGAGAGGGAAGGATCCGGGGCAGAGCCGGGACAGAGTTGGTCTCTGTCCTCCGGCCTCATCTGCTTGCTGTGGGGGTGCAGGCTGGGGGGGCCACGGGGTGCCCTCAGTAAGCTCCGCCCAGAGCCCAGAAGGAGGTTCAGGGTGAGATGGGAAGGGCGGCAGGGTTCTTACTTGACTATCACGTAGGAGATGCCGAAGTCGGGCAGGGACTGCCAGGCCTGGATGAAGCGCAGCTGGGCCTCGGTCAGGGAGAGCTGGGCCACGTTCTGGTGGGCTTCCAGGATCCGAGGGGTGAGCTGTGGGACCGCATGGGTGAGGGGCACCCCAAGTCCCAGCGGCCCCCGCCTGTCCCCATCAGCTGAGCGAGGGCAGGGCCAGGGCCCACTGTGGGCCCCAGAGTGCCCCTCTCACCACTCACACCCTGAGCTGAGCCAGGCCCGGAGGGGACGTGGGCAGCGGGGCCGTGCCCCCTCCTCTGGGCGGGGACCGCACTCTGCCGCAGGGACACGGGGAGAAGGAACGAGTGAGCACGTGGCTTTCCAGGGGAAGGCTCTGGAGGTGGCCAGGTCAACGCTGTGGCCAGTCCCACCGCCCAGCCCTCTGGCACCTGTTTGGCCTTGAACTTGCGCTGGAAGCGGGGGGCAACCAGGCCGTAGGGGTTGAGGCCCTCCGCGGAGGCGTCCAGGCCCTGCGGCTGGCTGCCGGGGGCGCCGGTCCCCGTCCGCTGCAGGCTGAGGAAGGCCAGGATGGCCTGCACCTCGCTGGCGTAGCTGCTGTCCGCCATGGTGCGGCCCTTGGAGGCCAGCCGGCAGCCGGCCATCCAGCGGGCGTACTGCTGCTCCTGGGGGGGCAGAGGGCGGTAAGGCCCGGCCGGCTCCGGGTGGGGGTGGGTCCCTGCCCCGCTCCCGCCTCAGCCCGGCCCGGGCCGCCGCCCTCACATCCTGGCAGCGCAGGTAGAGCTCGCTCATGCCCTCGGGGGAGGGCACCAGGAGTTTGATGCAGAATTTCTGGCCGGAGACGTTGACATCAGGGACCACCTCACAGCCTGGGGCGAGAAGGGGGGGTTAGGAGGCCGGAGAGGGGGACCCCGGCGGAGCGGCCCGACGGGCGTCCTCCCGGCCCTCGGGGGAGGCGGGCGGCGCACCCCCGGCCGGCCCACACTCGCCTTTGAGGTTGAGCTGCTGAATGGGGTCGCCCGGGGCCTCGTCCTGGCTCTTGTAGTAGGACAGCGTGGTCTCCTTGAACACCACCCAGTGCTGGCGGTACCCTTTCAGGGTCAGCTTCCGGGGCCTGCGGGGGAGGCGGGAGGTCCCAGGCCACCGTCCTACCCGCTCCCTCCCCCCTCCTCCCCCCCGCACTCCCCCGCCCCTGCAGGGCTGCCAACTCTGCCCCCACTCACCGCAGGATGCGGAGATGGTCCTTGAGTTCCGGGATGGCGGTGAGGCTGTCCTGGGGAGCAGAGGAGTCAGAGGGCCTGGCTGGGGCCTGAGCCCGACCCTGACCCCGCCCGCTGACCCTGACCCCGCCCGCTGACCCTGACCCCGCCTCGGACCCGGACCCCGCCCGCTGACCCTGGCCCCGCCCTCGGACCCGGACCCCGCCTGCTGACCCTGACCCCGCCCTCTGACCCTGACCCCGCCTGCTGACCCTGACCCCGCCCTCAGACCCGGACCCCGCCCTCGGACCTGGACTCCGCCCGCTGACCCTGACCCCGCCCGCTGACCCGGAACCCGCACTCTGACCCGGACCCCGCCCTCTGACCCTGACCCCGCCCGCTGACCCGGACCCCGCCCTCGGACCCGGACCCGCCCCTCCTCACCAGCACGTTGGCGGGCGCCGAGCCCTCCAGCTTCACCTCCAGGCTGCTCAGGGCGGCATCCAGGTCGTCCAGCCCCGGGTCGGCGGCCGCGGGCTCGCTCACCTCCCCGCTCTGTGACAGCTTGTTGATGTGGTACTAGGGGCACACGGCAGGCGGGCTCAGGGGGCGGCCCCTTCACACCCGGCCCCAAGCGGGGCCTCCTGGAGGGGCCCCCGGGAGGACCCTGCCCGCCGGCCGCCCGGCGCCTCACCTGCAGGGCGGCGAACACCATCATCTCCTCCTCCGTGCAGTCGATCTCCTCCAGCAGCAGGTCCCAGCGCGCCTGCTCGTACAGCTGGGTCAGCCGCACCGGGTCCGTCTGCAGCGCGGGGAGCGGGGGCTGGTGGGCCGGGGGTCCAGTGCCCTGAGCACCCTGTGCCCGGAGCCTCAGCCCTCAGCCCTCAGCCCTCAGCCCTCAGCCCTGCCCTCGGTGCCGTGGCAGCTGGTGGAGCGGCCCGCGGGGGCAGCCGATGCCAGCCCCGGCCTCGCAGCCTGCCTGGCATCGGCCCAGGGTGCTGGCACCCTTTTCCCTCGCAACCTTTCTGCACGGATGCTGCTGGGCACCCCGTGCTGCTGAGGGCAGAAGGGGGGCCGAGTAACCTGATCAATAAACAGGTGAAGTGATCCAAGAGCGTGAGAAAAGCTAGAAACAAAACAGTTGCAAAAAAAAAAAAAAGGAAAGAAAACATCTGCTAAGGGTTGGCTCCCGGTTGGGAGGAGTGCAGGAGGCATCTGATGGATGTTTCTCATTGATGTTTCTCTCTCTCTCTCTCTTTCTCTCCTCTCTCTTCAAAATAAGTAAAAACATTAAAAAAAAAATATGTGAAGCCCTAACTGGTTTGGCTCAGTGGACAGAGCATCGGCCTGCAGACTGAAGGGTCCCAGGTTTGATTCCGGTCAAGGGCATGTACCTGGGTTGCGGGCGCACAACCAGTAGGGGGCATGCAGGAGGCAGCTGATCGATGGTTTCTCTCTCATCCAATGTTTCTAACTCTATTCCTCTCCTTTCCTCTCTGTAAAAAAATCAATGAAATATATTTCTTTAAAAAATAAATAAATATATAAAAGATGTTAATTGTACAAGAAACACAAATCAGAGTATATTAAAATTAGGAACGTTGCCAAAATAAGCCATTAATGTGCTCGCTTTGGCAGCGCATGTATAAAGTTAACCATTAAGAGAATGAAAAGGTGAAGCACAGGTGGAAAAATATATTCACAACATATTTGCCTGCCCAGGCGGTCCTACACCAAACACAGAAAGAACTACGAGAAAGACAGACAGGCACGTCAATATAAAAATGGGGGCGGGGAGGGGGACTTGAACAGAAGCTTCCCAGGAGAGGATTTCCGAGTGGCTAAGGGCCAGATGAAAAGGGCTCAGCTTGACCAGTCCCCAGGAGACGAGAATTAGAGCCACAGAGAAAGCACATCGCTGGTCGGCTGGGTCGGGTGTGGGGAGGAATGGCTTCCAGTGGGCACCAGAGAACCTTCCGGGGGTGGGAACAGGCTGAAACCGGACTGTGGTGGCAGTTGCACAACTGTGTAAATTTACTAAAAATAGCCACCGGAATGCTTACGATGGGCGCCTTTCACGGTATGTGAGTTATCTCTCAGTGAAGCTGTCTTAGAAAACATATGAATAAAAAACAACAGGAGGGGCCTTTCTGCACCGGAACGGCCACGGTGACAATGAGGCTGTGAACTCCCTGCCGAGGGGTGCCGGGGGTACACCCTCTGGGAAGCTGCCTAACAGCTACCTACCACGGTCGGCCCTGGACCCAGCAATCCCGCTCCGGACGAGCGCCCTGCACCTGGCCCTGGCGGCTAGCTCCGCTGGTTAGAGGGTCGTCCCGATACACCAAGGTTGCAGGTTCAATCCCCAGTCAGGGCTCAGACAAGAGGCAACCCATGAATGCATCAACAAGTGGAACAACAATTCCTTCTCTCTCTCAAACCAATCAATATGTAACTTTAAAAAAAAAAAAGTTAACTTCCCCGTTTCTTAAAGAAATGTGTACCTATGTTTACTAAAATTCACATGAAATGTTCATAGTATCTGTGTTCTTTAAAAAAAAATATTTCTGTTGATGTCAGTGAGGAAGGGAGAGGGAGACAGAAACATCAATGATGAGACAGAATCATTGATCAGCTGCCTCCTGCTGGGGATCAAGTCCGCAACCCAGCCCTGTGCCCTCGATAGCAATCAAACTGGCGACCCTTCAGTCTGCAGGCCGACGCTCTACCCACTGAGCCACACCCGCTAAAGCTGCTGCTGTTCTACAAACCTACCAGGACTATTTAACTCTTTAAGCCATCAAATATTACGTTAACAAAAATTTAATTAAAACACACACACACACACACACACACACAGAGCACAACAAAAACCAAGTGGGTTTTAGATGTCAGGCGACAGGAGGTCCCCACAGGCAGCTCAGCGTCACCCGGCATCAGAACCAGGGACTAGGCAGCCGCGCCCACGGGACAGAGTGAGAGCCCGGGTGCAGCAGAGGCTCCTCTGAGAACTCAGCTGAGAACTGAGGAGCGTGCGTGTGCGTGTGTAGGTATGTGTGAGTGTGTGCATGTGAGTGTATGTGTGTGAGTGGGTGTATGCGCGCATGTGTGTATGTATGTATGCATGT